AAGTATGTTAAGAGCATCTTGAATTTTGTTCCCAGAAGTGCCTTGTATAAGAATGTCATCAGCATATATGATCGTCGTGACCCCTGGAGGATACATCTCTGATGCTAATCTGTTCATTAATACATTGAATAAGGTGGGACTTAATACTCCCCCTTGTGGGGTACCTAACTGAAACCTCCGTTCCTCAGACATGTATCCCTGGTAATACACCTGACCTTTTCTGCCTTGCAGGTAATCCCTTATCCAGTGTAGCAATCTCCCTGTTATTCCCAGATTGGCTAATTCGTATAAGATTACTTCCCCATTGGCTTTATCAAACGCTCCTTGTAGATCAACAAAAACTCTACAATTGTCATCCACATTAGACAAACACTTTAAGAGACAATCCGCAGTACCTTTGCCTTTGATAAAACCAAAGAGATTATTGGACATGTTATCACCTACAAGGTAGAGTAGCCTATTTAACAAAATCCTTTCCATCATTTTACAAAAGCAGGATATTAAGGAGACAGGTCTGTAGCCTCCGTTTGACTTAGGGATAGGAATGATGACAGCCTCTTTCCATTTTCTTGGTAACTTTCCCTCTCTATAACTCATATTAAACAAATCAAGTAAGGGATTAGGTTTCATACCGGCTAAATAATTAAGTATGTCATACGTTACTCCATCTTTTCCCGGAGCAGTGGAGCTGCCACTTTTTATAGCATCCAGTAGCTCATCGTGGGTTATCTCAGTGCATGCTATAGATCTTGTATTTAAGGCACATAAAGTTACTCCATTTCTAATATTTTCCCATGACTCAATGGTGACTCTCGTGTCTGCAGGTAAGGACTCCATACCAGCAGCACTTGCCCATTTATCTACTAACTCATTAGCAACTTTCCCTGGATCTGAGTGAGCAATGAATTTAGTCTTACAACCCCTGACTTTATTTACTGCTCTCCATATGTCTTTAAGGTTCTTAGTATTACCAATGGCCTGAGCAAAGTCTTGCCAGTATCTGTCCCGCGCCTCCTTCCTCACCTGACTGCATTCCCTAGCCACTTCCAACATTGTATTTTTCTCTTCATCCCTCATTCCATTTTTTAACCATGCTTTATGCGCACCCCGTAGCATTCTCTCCCATCCCTTGACTTGCTGATCATTGGAATATTTAAATTTCTTAGGTCCGTGCGTCTTGCTTCCCCTGCCCCCGTTATTTTCCCTCTGTACTAATTTCTCTATGTTCTCGACCATGTCCTCGTAAAAACTATCAACGCAGAGCGGCGTGTAATGTTGATACCAATCTCCCATATTTTGAATAAAATAATTTTTCATATCTTTCTTAATATTTAGCCTTTTCCTTTGAAAGTGGACTTGTTTTTTCCCCAGTGGTAATTCAACGTTCAAGGCAAAGTGGTCACTAAGTAGTTCCCGAACAACCCGAGCCTCCCCCATAATCCCCTGAGAGTTTAAAACGCAGGCATAGTCAAGCCGTCCTCCCCTGATGTGAGTTGGTTCATTGTTTCCCAATAGACAGGTATCTGGATGATCTTGTAGAAACTGTAACCACTTGACCCCATTAGTATTAATACTACCCACTGTCCCAAGGCTTGTGTGCCGAGCATTAAGGTCCCCAATGACCAGTGAAGGATTAGTATAAATGCAGTCAGGTAAATAGTTAGCGTCGAAGCAGTTCCTGGATACATACAAATTAACTACAATAAATTCCCCTTCCCTTAATGATAATTTAACACAGACACTCTCTATACCTTGCGTTTTTGATGGCGGTTCTACTAACTCTGCTGGTATGGAGTTCTTAACATAAATCGACGTGCCTCTGATGTTATTTGCAGCGAAGAGGTGAAACCCTTTATAGCCATTTAATTTCAATAATCCTTCATTCCTATCCCCTGTCTCTTGGAGAGCTACAACATCAATATCATTTCCCATCACATAACAATGAACATCTGTAACCCTGTTTCTCAAACCATTAACATTCCATGACAACACTTTCAGTCTAGGGTGATCCATTATTAATCAATTCATTGCCTAAGTCATCCCCAATAAGTTCACTAAATGATAGCCATACCTTGTATAACATCTCCCACCTCCTCCCAAGTTCACCAGTAAAAGCGACATTGCGATTCTCAAGAGATTTTTTCAGCCCTGAGATGTCCATTATTGGCCCAAATGATTCCTTCATTTTATGTGTAATTATAGGGCTCTTCCTTTCACTACGACTACCATCATTCACACACACTTCACTTTCCTTCATTTCATCACTCAATATTTCATTTTTGTCCTCAACCACTATATCCTGACTATCCTTCACCGTTTTGTGATTTTCCTTGACCTCCTGAACGTTTAATTTAGCCTCGATGGACTCGATTCTCTGCCCCAGATTTTGGAGGAACTCACCAACTTTTTTAAGTTCAGCCCACACTTCCTTGACCATATTATTATGACCCTCTCTCTGAGCCACAGTAGCCACTTCACTCACCGTTACACTGTCACTGCCGGAGTCCTGAGTGGTGGCGTGGCTGCTTGTTGCTGGAGCCTGCCTAAGTAAAGGTGACTCCTTTACCCACGCATTCGTCCGGTTCACTGGCACTGTTTGGGGCAGACTGTTTTGCTGTGCTCCCGGTGTCTGGGTAAGAGCTCTTGCTTGCTCTGTAACATTCACCGGCCGGAGAACAGCCATACTCGGCCTCTTGCTACACACAGCCGAGCTCGCATTGTGAACACCTCCACAGTTGCAGCATCTGGGAACTATTTTCTCACCCAGATTCAGTCTGTTTCTACACACAGTAGAGAGGTGAGACTTTCCGCAGAAACGACATCGTGGATCATTTTGACATCTCCAGGATTTATGCCCCCATCTGCAGCATTTCAGGCATATTATGGGCTCTTCCACATACTTTGCTACATGCCTGTAGCCAGCCCCGGTGATGAACACTTTTTCGGGTACGTCACCTCTCACTAGAGCCACCACCTGACTCCTAGCTTCACCTTTAATAAGGTGACGCTTGGCCCACACAAATCGTTGGTCGTCGAGTATAAACTCGGGGTCCAGAATCTGAGGGTATTTATAGATAATTACCTTCGTCAGCTTCTCGTTCCCCTCCGGTATTTCCATAAGAATTCCATCGTATCCTTGCTGGGTAAGATACTCCACTGCCTCCATAGAACCTACCGTTAAGTAAGGTCTGTTTACACCTTCCTTCAGCAGGGGCTCGAACTTGCGGTGTTCTCTTCCGAGTTTGACGGTCCACAGCAGCTTCTGATGATAGGCCAGCGTGCATGAGGCAGGGAAGAGAAGCCTCCATCTCCGCTGATCCTCACCTTCCTGACATCGTTCCGTCCGTTTGTCTGCATCAGTCTCGGCGTCGTTCTTCATTCTTTTATCGTTTCCGTTAAGTGTATTACTGTCCACACTACTCCTTGCCTCCTGTCTTCTTCGTTTCTTCTTATTCCTTGTCAGAACTTCTAGATACTCGCCCTCCTCGTCTGACTGGCTGCTTTCAGGGTCCATGTTAATAACGCCGTGAGAAGTGACAGGCTGGATTTGTGGTTGAAGGCCTCCACGACGGTGCACCCAGTGGGACTGTGATTTGGCTGGCCTATGGCCAGGGTAGATTCGCCTAGAGAATCGAAGGATTCATTGTGAGGCCACGAGAAGAGAACCAGGGCTACTCATCTTGAGCACCGTAAAGCATCCTGTGTCTTCGGAGGAAGACAAGTTATTGTATATAAGTGTAGTTTTATCCCCAGCGAGTGACAGCTGTGAGATATTTATTTATGGTGGTGGTTAATATATATATTTAAATTAGTGCATTAGTATCCCTTTCCCCTTTAATTTACTTGTGTACAAGTCTCCAAACTTGATACATTAATTGTAAGTGACTCCTTATCATCCTTAAATGCTCTCAACTCTTTAAGACATAACTGTAACATGCTCGTGTCCGAAGCTAGACACAAATACAACAAAATTATTAAGGATGGTAACAGAGTCCATTTCATGTGGTCTCCATCTCATGTTGGCTTCCGAATGCATGATAGAGCTGATAAGTTAGCCAAAGAATCTGCCTTTAAAGGAACCGTTGAGTGTAACCTTGCATTGTCAATGAGCAATCTGAGAGTAGCAGTACACCGAGAACTTCATCAAGATCTTGTAGATCTGAGGCAAAGTGAAATTGACACTAGTAATTCCATCTATCATCATACTATCATGCAAGAGGAGCCACACATCTATGGATCATCCAATAAATTCAGCAGACTTCTAGATGTTACTACTGCTCGGCTTAGACTCGGTTACAAGTATCTCTGGGAATTCTCATTATCTGCTGATGTAAATCTGATCAAATGTAAACTGTGTCAACAAAATTATTCGCACACCCTCCGTCACTATGTGATGGAGTGTGAAAAGATACGTGAATTTAGAGACAATTCTATAACCAATGTTCCAGCGATGTGTAAATATTTCATTCAAAATGATCTGCTACCAGAAATTTTAGTCAAATATCCCCAGTTTGCTAACTGTAGGTAGTAACTGAGTGATTGTAACCTATCCACCGCTGCCCACTGGATGGGGGACGGTGTGCAAGACAAACATAAATTTTGACACTAGCTCTCCACATATGTCAGTTGCTTAATTTAGAACCTGTTCTTGAGGTCAATCTCGAACCCATTGTTGATGTGACGACTTATATTGAATTTTGTAACTAGCTCATCAAGATTGAAACTTGCTTAGCTAAATTAATTGTGGGGTTCAGACCCTGAGCCCATTATGTCTTTAAGTCAAGGACCTTAATTAATGCCCGAAACGCTTTGCGTAATAGTGGCTTTAGGCATTGTATGTACTAGCCCTATCTATAAATCCAGCATTCTTTGTAAAATCTCTTGTATGTATGTACCTTACCTAAATAAACATTTATTATTTTATTTATTTTATGTGCCTCTGTAACCCTTTCCACTACCGCCCACAAGATGGGTATGGGGTGCATAATAAATGAACTAAACTAACTAACATGAACTTGAACCCACAATTCATTTAGCTAAGCAAGTTAAGCTCTGCCATGTGCTCGAGCGCCTTGGATAGCGCTCTGGAAACAAAAAAATATTCCATCTTGGAGTGTAAACAAATAGCTGTCAAGTGTGTGAGTTCGAATGCCTGCACGTGTGATAAATATTGATATTGTACATCCTGTCGCTGGGTTGTACTTGGTCAATTAATGAAATATACTCTAAAACGAAAGAAGAATATAATGATAGATTGCTTAGAATAGCGCAACAATAGTGTTTATGAGGACTATAAATATATTTTGAGGCAAGTGAGCTGTGTGAGGAGACGACTGAGAGGCGGCGACGACACTTGAGGTGATGGCGGCGGAAACGACTGTGGGAGCTGGGAGCTCCTCGACTCATTCTGGCTGGGCTGGCTCCATCAGGGATGTTGTCTCAGTTTTATTATATTGCCAGGAAGAAAGAGGAGCAGACATACAGGTGCTGGCATGTGAGAACGAAGGCGTGTTGTGTCTGGCCAGGAAGGTGGTGACAGCTGAGGATGCTTGCCAAGACTCTGCCACAACTGCCCTCCCAGATAATACTGCTCACTCAAGTGACACTACATCTTCACACCTTCCTTTATGGGTGAGAGGATTCTTAAGTTATCATTCCTCTCTTCAGTTAAAAATACAGTACAGTATAGTACATCTTTTTATGTATGACTGTATGATATACATAAATTTTTATTCATTTATTTATTTATATATACAAGAGTTCTTACATTCTTGTACAGCCACTAGTCTGCATTTTTGGGCAAGTCCTTAATCCTAATTTTCACACACATTCCCAGGAAGCAGCCTTGTAGCAACTGCCTTAACTCCCCAGTACCTATTTACTGCTAGGTGACTTGGGCATCAGGGTGAAAGAAACTCTGCCAATTTGTTTCTGCCTCCGCCAGGGATTGAACCCGAACCCTTAGGACTATGAACCCTGAGTGCTGTCCACACAGTTGTCAGGTCTAACATGACATTAGTTCCCGTGGTGCAGTGGTAAGACACTCGCCCGACACTTAGCGAGCGCTTTGGCCTTGGTTCATATCCTGGTTGGGGAGGATTGACTGGGCGCCAATCCGAAACAGTAGCTTCTGTTCACCCAGCAATGAATGGGTACCTGGCTGTTAAATGATTTGCCAGATCATATTCCAGGGAAAATTAGGATTAAGGACCTGCCCGAAATGCTATGTGTGCTAGTGGCTGTACAAGAATGTAAGAACTCTTGTAAATATATAAATATATATATATATATATATATATAATATATATATATTATATAATTATATATATATATATATATATATATATATATATATATATATATATATATATATATAAATTATATATAATATATATATATATATATATATATATATATATATATATATATATATATATAAATTATATTATATATATATATATATATATATATATATATAAATTATATATATATATATATATATATATATATATATATATATATATATATATATATATATATATATATATATATATATATATATATATATATATATATATGCAGGCGATGAGTCACAATAACGTGGCTGAAGTATGTTGACCAGACCACACACTAGAAATTGAAGGGACGACGACGTTTCGGTCCGTCCTGGACCATTCTCAAGTCGATTGTGACTTGAGTCACATATATATAATATATATATATATATATAATTATGCAATTGACGATCACAAAACACTGATCATTTTATGCGGAAAATTTTTCCGCATATATAATTATATATATATATATATATATATATATATATATAGTCGATTGTGACAATCGACTTGAGAATGGTCCAGGACGGACCGAAACGTCGTCGTCCCTTCAATTTCTAGTGTGTGGTCTGGTCAACATCAATATATATATGCAGAATAACCACATGTGAAAAATAGAAAATGCTTAACGCGTTTTCGGCTAATTCGCCTTCATCAGAGCAAAGTAGATTCTACTAACAGTCTCCGTGGTGTAGTGGTAAGACATTCGCCTGGCGTTCCGCGAGCGCTATGTCATGGGTTCGTATCCTGGCCGGGGAGGATTTACTGGGCGCAATTCCTTAACTGTAGCCTCTGTTTAATGCAACAGTAAAATGTGTACTTGGATGAAAAAACGATTCTTCGCGGCAGGGGATCGTATTCCAGGGACCTGCCCGAAACGCTACGCGTACTAGTGGCTTTACAAGAATGTAACAACTCTTGTATATATCTCAAAAAAAAAAAAAAAAACCTTTGCTCTGATGAAGGCAAATTAGCCGAAAACGCGTTAAGCATTTTCTATTTTTCACATGTGGTTATTCTGCATATTTGGATCAGTGTTTTTGTGATCATTGTTGTGCATATATATATATATATATATATGTCGTACCTAGTAGCCAGAACGCACTTCTCAGCCTACTATGCAAGGCCCGATTTGCCTAATAAGCCAAGTTTTCATGAATTAATTGTTTTTCGACTACCTAACCTACCTAACCTAACCTAACCTAACTTTTTCGGCTACCTAACCTAACCTAACCTATAAAGATAGGTTAGGTTAGGTTAGGTAGGGTTGGTTAGGTTCGGTCATATATCTACGTCAATTTTAACTGCAATAAATAAAAATTGACCTCATACATAATGAAATGGGTAGCTTTATCATTTCATAAGCAAAAAATTAGAGAAAATATATAAATTCATGAAAACTTGGCTTATTAGGCAAATCGGGCCTTGCATAGTAGGCTGAGAAGTGCGTTCTGGCTATTAGGTACGACATATATATATATATATATATATATATATATATATATATATATATATATATATATATATATATATATATATATTATTAAATATGACCGAAAAAGTAAGATTAATAATTCTACCACGAATTTTCTCAATCTTTCGTACATTACGCTTCACTGTTGGAGGTAAATAAAAAATCACTTCTCCAAAATTCATTTTTATTTCTAGTCTGACGCGACACGGGCGCGTTTCGTAAAATTTATTACATTTTCAAAGACTTCACAAATACACAACTGATTAGAACTTACGTCTCTCTGATATTATATCTACATTTGAGTGAGGTGGGAAGGGTGATGTGGCATAACACAAGACAGAACAGGAGGGGATATTAATAGGGTATTAAAAGTATCAACACAAGACAGAACAGAAACAATGGATAGAGGAAACAATGGATAGAGTTGTATCAGAGGATACAACTGACGATTTACTATAAAACCAGAAAAACGGCCAGCCTACTCATGAGAAACTCTCCAGACACAAAACAGAACGCTTTAAAAGAGACTAACGTCGTCTATGCCTTCAAATGCCCACTTGGGGACTGTAAGCTCCAAAAAACCCAGTATATAGGCAAGACAACAACATCTCTTTCTAGGCGTTTAACGATGCATAAGCAACAGGGCTCCATTAAGGAACATATAATCTCTTCCCATAACCAAACCATCGCCAGAGAAATCCTAGTAAACAACACAGAAATCATCGATAGATACAGCGATAGCAGGCGGCTTGACGTTTGCGAGGCACTACACATCAAGAAGTCAACACCAGCAATCAACAGCCAATTATTGCACAACTATATTCTACCCACCTCAAGACTCCGCTCCAATATAGAAGCATCAAGAAATATGGACCAATAGGCTTTCTACAAACACTTCTATTCAATACCCATTGTTTCTGTTCTGTCTTGTGTTGATACTTTTAATACCCTATTAATATCCCCTCCTGTTCTGTCTTGTGTTATGCCACATCACCCTTCCCACCTCACTCAAATGTATATATAATATCAGAGAGACGTAAGTTCTAATCAGTTGTGTATTTGTGAAGTCTTTGAAAATGTAATAAGTTTTACGAAACGCGCCCGTGTCGCGTCAGACTAGAAATAAAAATGAATTTTGGAGAAGTGATTTTTGATTTACCTCCAACAGTGAAGCGTAATGTACGAAAGATTGAGAAAATTCGTGTTAGAATTATTAATCTTACTTTTTCGGTCATATTTAATAATATATGTCTACAGGAAAGACTGCTACCAAAATATACTAATATATATATACTGTATATATAAAAATATATATATATATATATATATATATATATATATATATATATATATATATATATATATATATATATATATATATATATATATAGTGTGCATATGCATATGCATGCAAACAAGCCTGAACGGTCTCCAGGCATATATGCAACTGAAAACTCACACCCCAGAAGTGACTCGAACCCATACTGCCAGAAGCAATGCATCTGATGTACAGGATCCCTTAATCACTCGACCAACACGACCGGACAAAATTTTAGTTGTATATATATATACATATATATATATATATATATATAATGTCGTACCTAGTACAGTAACCAGAACACACTTCTCGGCATACTATGCAAGGCCCGATTTGCCTAATAGGCCGAGTGATTTTCATTATTATCAAAATATTGCTTCCACGTGGTTTATTTGAAATATTATTATTATATTATGTTAAGAACATAAATTATTGACTTAGTTATGTTAGTTTAGGTTAGGTTAAGATAGGTTAGGTTAGGTAGGGTTGGTTGGTTTCGGTCATATATCTACATTTATTTTAACTCAAATTAAACGAACTTAGATAGACTTTGGCGAGTCAGGCACTATATGAATGAAGTGATTGGAAAGTTCAGAGATTTTTACGTACCAGCACAGAAGCTGGTGATTGACGAATCCCTTGTGCTTTTCAAAGGACGTGTTTCATTCAAGCAGTATATTCCCTCCAAACGAAACAGATTTGGATTGAAATTCTTTGTACTGTGTGACTGTGAAACAGGATATGTGTTACACATGATTCTGTATTCAGCTAGCGATGTAGACATTCCCGGCAACAGTCTCCGTGGTGTAGTGGTAAGACACTCGCCTGGCGTTCTGCGAGCGCTATGTCATGGGTTCGTATCCTGGCCGGGGAGGATTTACTGGGCGCAATTCGTTAACTGTAGCCTCTGTTTAACGCAACAGTAAAATGTGTACTTGGATGAAAAAACGATTCTTCGTGGCAGGGGATCGTATTCCAGGGACCTGCCCGAAACTCTATGCGTACTAGTGGCTGTACAAGAATGTAACAACTCTTGTATATATCTAAAAAAAAAAAAAAAAAAAACAACGAACATGGTTTCTCGGGTAGTGTGGTGAAGTCACTGATGGCACCATGGATGAACAAGGGCCACATTTTATACACAGATAATTACTATACAAGTCCATTGCTAGCTAGGTTCTTGATTGAAAATAGAACCGGATTGGTTGGCATAGAAAAGGCACGAAGGAGGGAAATGCCAGTGTTTGACGGTAGACTTGCAGTTGGTGAGTGCCAGCTACGGAAATGTGATCAAATACTCTCGGTTCGGTGGAAAGACAAGAGAGAAGTGAACATGCTGACAACCGTTCATGAGGGTACAATGGTGAACAGTGGCAAGGTGAACCGTGTAACGAAAGAACCAGTATATAAGCCAGATTGTGTTCTTGACAATAATATCAACATGCGTTTGATTGATAAGGCTGACATGATGGCTGGTACTATTGAGTGTGTGTGGAAAACATTGAAATGGACGAAAAAAGTGTTTTTCCATCTTGTTGACATGAGCATGTTGAACTACTATAATATGTATCTGGTGAAAACTGGACGTAAACCTAGTTTCCGTGCATTTGCTTTTACACTCGCGACACAGTTATTAGCAAAGTTTGGTAAAGATGTCCCTGGCATACAAAGACCAATCATGAACCCAGTGTTGCAGCATGCTGCTACACCCAGGCTCGCTCACATGGAGGCCTTTCAGCAACACAGACTAAAACATTTGCCACCAGCTGGAAAGCGTGCAATAGGCCAACGTGAATGCCTAGTATGTAAAACAACAAAACGGAGAGAACAGAAACGTAAAGTGGTGCAAACATGGTGTGAAGTGTGTGCAGTTCCATTGTGTGCTGTCGACTGCTTCAACGACTACCTCTCACTCCAAGAATTCTAAATAGGCAATAATAGTGCAAAAACCTGTACATAGTGCGTGCTCGTGTGGACATATAATAATGAGCATTGTGATTACATAATATAATGGCGTAATGGAAAACATTTGTGTGCGCATGTGTATACTCGATGTATGCAACATTTATTGACAATGACTGTGATGTAACATTATGTGCAACACAATTAGTGACTAATATTGCTAATAAAATAGGCCTAGACACTGTAAATAATGACACAAAAATAAATTCGTGGCAACTCTGGCTGCTTGAAGACCGCGCGCGACGCCTCTGGGACGCACCATGCATGAGCGATCATGCAGGGTGTGACGTCATCGCCCATCTTGTCAGCTCAATTACGTCGTCGGTAAGTACAATTTAATTTTTCAGTCAGCCTTCAGCCAGCCAGCCTGCGGACTATTCCCGTGCCTACGACGTTCGTTAGTTTGCTGCTCTTGCTGCCGTCTTTGGCAACATGTCTTGGGCTGACATTCGGGCACGGGTTTTTTGGCGCATTACCTAGTTAATGTTCCTGTTCCTCGTCGGGCCTGTGTCGCTTTGGGTCGGCAGTTGCAGCCAGTTGCCTCAGCTTTGCGTTGAGGAGCAAGCAATGACTGCCTCCCAGGTAAGTCCCTCTTGTTTTTGTCTTTTGGTAAGTAGCTCCGGGGAGCTGATAGAGCTCCCCCCAGAAAGCCAGCGTTGAATGTAATGAAACACCATTTTCTGGGTAAGACCTGGAGGCTCCCCGGCAACCCTCCTCCCCCTGTTCGGCGGTTTTTCTCATGTTTTTTATATATAGCCTCAGAACTGGGATCGTGGGTAGCCGGTGCGAGGGGTCTGCGGTTTCTCCTTCGCCCTCCTAGGGAGGGGGAGCTGCGCAGACGGCGGCGCAGCAATGTGGTGATGTTATACTCATTTGCTCGTTTTTGTTTGGGGAGTTTTGTTCATTAGTTCGGCTCTTAGTAGCAATTTCTTCACCAGAATAGGGGTTTGTTTTGGGATGCTTACCTTTCTAAGTGCCTGACCCAGTCAATGGCATACATAGAATGCTTCCAACTACTGTATATGAGTGGTTTCTATAGGCCATTGCTCCTCGTGCCTCTCTGAGGGGGCCAGGTTCTGGCTCATGGTCCCCGGTAGACCTAAGAATTCCATTAACACTGACTGATGCCAAAAGTCTAATATTAACATATCAGCCTGGGATAGCTCCGGGGAGCCTCCGGGGTCTCACCCAGAAAATGGGGTTTCAATACATTCAACGCTGGTTTTTTTCGGTGCACCTCTGTGGTGTCATATTTGAATGCAGTGTAGTGGTTAAAGAACTCTAAGTTTCCCATAGTCTCCTCTCCTGAAATCAGATGTTTCATCTGCTTCATTTTCCTCATTCTCTTCTAGATTATAATGCATTGCATACCTGTACTTTATTTCCAAAAGGACATGGTCACTGTTGCCCAAGGGAAGAAGGTACTCACCTTCTTCAAACTTGACATTCAGAAGGTACTGAATGTCAAACTTGACATTCAGAAGGTACTGAATGTCAAGTTTGGTGTTGCCCAGTTGCTAGCAACAGGGAGCCACAGAGAATCCAATGGAAATGCATTTCATTACATTCATTGATGGTTTTTGTATCCAGAACAGTACTAGTGCCAATGCCGTAATTCCATGCCAGTTTCTTGCTTGCCACACAATAATCTAGTTTCTCCAATAACTTTGCAATTTTTATCCATGGTAAGGAAGTTCCTCTTTCTTTACCTTCTATACCCTTGCCATTATTGTGTGATGACATGGGTTCAAATCAGAAATGAGAATACAGCTTATCCAAAGAGAAGTACAGTAAGTGAAAATGTAAGAGTAATCATAGATGACTGTAGCCCTTCAATTTGACTTCTAAGAATTTTTAAGATCTGAATTGACCCAGTCCCACTGTAGTACAGTATTAAGCATGTGACCGAATTCATATCCCACTAAAATAATTGATCTATATTTCAGCCTAGAGATGTAAACTACTGCCATGTAGCTCAAAACATTGCAGAAAGAATTACTAAAGAGATTTCATGCGACTTCTCGATGCCCCAGCTTGTGTTACTTACAAGAGTGTATGTTCCTACGTTACGTAGACACTACCATCATTATGTATTTGCACTGAACATTATCAAAGACCAATGGAAACAAGTAAGTTTTATGATTATTGTTTATGATATGAAATATTTATCTCTATAATAAGCACTGATTCTTTAGAGCTGCTAATATCAATCGGGCCTCTGATGACCTTTGATGGTCAGCTTAACACATTGGTGAAGAAAGCATAGATCAATCTTCACCAAGCTAAACTACACATTAAGGTGTAAGCATATCAATTGATAGTTTGCCATAGAGCTCTTGCCCCATCCTCCTACAATCACCACCAAGTGGCTTACCAAGTCACAGGATCACTTCCCAGCTAAACCCTCACTCCCGAGCTTGATTCATTATACATATAGTACAGTCATGCACCTGTGCTGGAGCTGGGATATCAGCTTTTCCTTAATTAAGGTAAGTGGTTTTGGACTTTTTTGGGACATCTCTTCCATGCAGGGACCCATGTTGCTTGTGCGAATTTGAGGGTTGTTCATCATCTGTGCCACCTGGTGACGTTCATACGTTCTGCCTCTGACATGCTGCCTGTTGGGTCGGTGACACTTTCGACCCCGAGTTGTGTGGGACTTGTTCCCCACATGTGACTCTCTTTTTCCCATTTTCCTCTTGAAGTTCAGAGGTTTCAGGCAGCGTCCATTTTGCTTTTGAGGTTTTCTGTGTTACAGCAGTTAAGGTTCTGTGGCTAGATGAATGGCCTGGATTTTCCCCACTTGGTGTTACAGACTCTGATTTGGAGGTGTTGGTTAATTCAACTATGATTCTGTCTGCATCGCCTCTTCCTTTCCCTGTGGGCTGGTTTTGCCCTTTTCCTTCTCATCCTGCTACTGGCTCTGAAATGTCTGAGGGTCCCGGAGTCTGGGCATAGTTTAGCTCGGGATGTGGTTTGTGCTGATTCAGGGTTTGCCCCGTCCGACTTGGTCATGGAGGCAGTTAAGTCTCTTGCTCATGCCGAGGCTTCTGGGTCTTTCCTGCTGGCCTCCTCTTTTGAAGTCTCCAACGAAATCTGCTTTTCTATCAAGAGTGGTGGGCATGAACGAGGACTCTACCCTGGGGCCCTCTGCGGTTCCATGAGCTCAGGGAGAGTTGGAGTAGGGCCCTTGGCCCCCTGTTTATCCATTGTGATCCTTAGTGCCTTCTGCAGAGGGTGTTTTGTTCTAGGGTGTGGGGTTTTCTTATCCCCCCTCCCTGTTTTTTCTGTTCACCCTGAGGCAAGGGTGAACAACCCTTGCCTCAGGGTGATGATCACCTGTATTGCCTCCATCATGCTGCCTGTTGGGTTGGTGACACCTTCAACCCGAAGTCTTGCGATACGTACTCCCTCTCATGCTCCAATTTACCCATTCTTCTTTGGAAGGTCTTATAGGTCAGGCAGGGTGCGAGTTGCATTGTAGGTATAGATTGGTTGCCTGCTCAGCTGCCCTGGGGTTGACCCCATGCCTTCCCCCCGGGTCAAGCCTGGCCTTGGGCCGGGCTACGGGAGTAGAAGAACTCCCAGAACCTCATCAAGCAGGTATTAGGTTTCATGGTGGGGCGACATGCTTACCGCTTTCGTTGCCTTCCTTTTGGCTTGAATCTGGCACATTCCATTTTCACACGTCTTACCCGGATCGTGGTGATACGTCTGCTTCTGCTAGGGGTTAGGGTTCTGGCCTACCTCGAAGACTGGTTGGTTTGGGATCCCAGCGATCTGCTTGTCTGCTCACCTGGTGTGTGGCTGTTTTTCAGCTCGCCAGGTTCGGGTTCCTGGTGAACTAGAGGAAGTCACAACTGGATCTAGTTCCATCCCCATGTTTGGACCTGGCCGAGACTCGTTTGGGACTCTCAGAACGCTTCCATGTCTCTTCCCTTATGCAGTGTTGCTGCGACTGCAGCAACAGCCTTCAGCTATTCCTGGGGGGGAGGGGAGGGTCCCGGGTCACTCGGAGGTTGCTCGGGCAGTTGTGTAGGTGTCTGAAGTTCGTTGTGCTAGTTTACCCACCAGGTCGGATCTGGCTTTGGCGCCTGTTCTGGTTCCTTCGATGACGTTCCTTCCACCTCTCTTGTGACCGCTGGGTTCGTCCGCCGTGGACCTTGCATCGGTTGTTGTGTTGCCGGCTTCCTCTTTGGCTTTGGGTTCAGTCCCTTTTCGCTTCCCCGAGCCCTCGCTCAATGTGTTCACGGATGCCTCGTCTCTCGGCTGGGGTCTTGTGACCAGTGTTCACCAGACCAGCCAGGGGCTGTGGGCTCCATGCTTCTTTTTGGCTCACAGCATGGTGCGGGAGTTTGTGGCAGTGTGGCTTTTGCTTCAGCAGGCTTGGGTTGCTCGGGGGCTCTACTATCAGGCTCCATTCGGACTGTGCCCCAGCGGTTCATTATCTGAACCACAGGGGGGGGCCTATCTTTGGTCCTAGGATCTTTGGAGCTGGTCGCTTTGAGTGACTCGTCTGCTGGATTCTCGGGGTTTAGCTCTCCGTGTTGTTCACATCCTTGGTGTGTCAAATGTCCTGGTGGATGGTTCATCCTGTCATGGTTGGCTCTAACAAACGTACAGGCCCGCGGAGGTGGATCTCTTCACGTCGGTCCCGCTGTGGTCCCGGTGTCTCCCGATATATGTGGCGCCCTTCCCCAACTACAGAGCCTTTGCGGTAGATTCTTTTCGGCAGGACTGGTGGAGGTGGGGTTACCTGTATCTCTTCTCACCAGTCCAGCTATTGCTTTGGGTTCTGGCTCGGTTGGAGTCTTATCACGGGAGAATCGTCCATGTGGCCCTGTGGTGTCCCGCCCAGCCTTAGTTTCAGGCACTGGTGTCCAAACCCGGGGTGTTTTCCATGGCTCCGCCTCTTCCAACAGATCGAGCCAGTCCGGTACCTGGCTGGTTCGATCTACTCCTCCGCTCTTCGTGTCTAGTCTTTTTGTCGCAGGCGTATCACCACTTGTATGGTGGTCAGGTGGTGTTATGGGGGGGGGGGGGAGCAGGTGGTTGTACTGAGAGGGCCAATAGTAAAAATCACAGTTCTTAAAATAGTGTAGGATAGGAGGATAGGCCCCGACCCCCCAGGGAAGAATGTTCCCAACAATGAATACTTGCTTGGCTATATTAACTTCTGCCGTCTAAGGTAGATCATCTACTACTTTGGTTCAACAGGATGTAAAGATACTCTTAGCTTATTCCTTATTTATTAAACCCTCTAATAACCCCCCATATACATTAATACAATAAATCACTTTGCCACTCTACCTTACATTAAATACCTTGGTCCACATAAGCAGGATGCAAGGTTTACAATTGCAACTAGGGTAGAGACTACTTTCCTGACTGGCACTTATATCATAGGTATCACAGACTTAAGCACACGTGGGTTCACTAGTCCCCTAGAGTACACTTAGAGATACCAAAACACTAGCTAAGGTTACACAAGAACTAAATTCACACCTAGCCAGTAACACAGTAATACACAGTCAGATACTTATCTTGTATAACAAACACAGAATAAGGTAAGCGAAGAGAGAAGGAGGAGGAGAACAGAACCCACAAGGGACAGTGTAAACACCACAGCCGCCAGAACCAGAAGAAAGATCTCTCGCACAACCCCGAGCTCTCTCAAGTTGCTGCCGGGAAAATATCTAACTGATTATACATCCCTAATCATTATAAGTCTTCACCGACATTCATTACTAGTTACTTTAACACTTCTAAGAATAGCTGATAACTAGTTCAATATTATATTTAATAATCAACAAGCCCAGAGTCTGAATGATCTGTGAATAACAAGATTCGTCTTACATCTGGCAAGGGAGACAGAAACAAATACGCATCAGGGGTATGAGAAGCCCTGAATATAAACGTTATTGTTAATTAAATATCCTTCTTACTGGAGCGAGAGCACACAACCGACCCGATAGCATTCACTTCTTAGGTTGTTTTCTGTTTCTGTTCGGGTTGTTTTGTCCTTCTTGGCTCTTTCAGGACCGTCATCTTATGCCAAATACTGTCACGCCACAAATAGACTGGAGCCAGAGCACACAACCGACCCGATAGCATCAGCCTCAAGAACTGAGGTGTGGATCGCTGGTGTGGTAGGTCTGGGGCTACCCCTTCCCCCTTCCGGGGAGGTGGGGGCTGCTCAGACAGCAGCGTGACGATGGGTGACATCATACTAGTTTGCTCGTTTTTGTTTGTGGAGTTCTGTCCACTCGTTCGGCTTTTGGTTGCAATTTTCACCAGAATAGGAGTTTGTTTTGGGACGCCTACCTCTCTGGGTGCCTAACCAGGTCGATGGCAGACATAGAATGCTTCCAATTACACGGGGGTTTCTATAGGCCATTGCTCCCCTTGCCTCACTAGAGGGGGCCGGGTTCTGGCTCGTGGTCCCCGGTAGGCCCATAAGAACTCCATACACATGACTGATGCCAAAGTCTGACATTAGCATATCGGCCTGGGATAGCTCTGGGGAGCCTCCGGGACTCACCCAGAAAATGGCGTTTCATTACATTCAACGCTGGTCTTTTCTTGCAAACCACGGAGTTATTACATTTAATAGGTGCACGACAAGGGTTAAAGGGCCAGATTCTGGTCCTGGCTCTTTGTAGGTTCTTGTGGGTCGTTAGCGGCCTGATGTGTTTCCAAAGCTTGGACGTTTCCCTGAGTGGTCCATCCAAGAGAAGCATTTCATTACATTCGTGCTGGATTTTTATTCATTTGTAGGTGCAGTATAGATTAATTTATTACAATACCTTTGGGAGAGTAATAACATTGCCATTTACACAGTGTACATTGAAATGAAGCAAATGAGCCAGTTCAGTTATATCAAGGGGTATATTTGTTTGTGCCAAAATAATAATTCAGGTACATAAATAAGTTATAATCATACTATATACTGTACAGTATATTATATTAAAAGGAGAGGGCCATGCCTTATTACCTGCTTGTATTTTTCTGCAGTTGCAAATTATAGATGGTCAACAAAAGCTTACAATGAGTGAACTGAGAAGTATTCCTGGCAGCCAATTAGAAAGACAAGACATACTACTAGTTGCGGAACATGTAAACAAGCAGTTAACTGGTAAGTGTGTTGTTATTAGTGTGTAACTTCCATACACACTAATATTTTTGATCTTGATTGCTTCCATAGGCACTTGTCCTAGTCTTCCCAAGGAGAGGATGAGACACAGCCAGGCACTGTCAACATGCCATCCCCATTGTACTCACCTAGTTGTGTTTGCGGGGGTTGAGCTCTGGCTCTCTGGTCTCGCTTCTCAACAATCGATCAACTGGTGATTGGGGCTGGGATCTTTTCCCATATCTCTACCAAGTAACAGTGGGGGGAAAGGCAAACACTGGATGCTGCTCAATGCCTCCCAAAGTGGTTTCCAAAAGGGGTTGGTCATCTCAAAGTTCTAATCAAGATTGAACCTATGTATGTCTGGGTTCAGTTACAGCACTGAGTATACTCATTTCAGCTGTATATAAACAAACTTTTGTAACATGCCTACTGGGTGTTTGTATTCCTGCCTATCTCCAAGATTAAGCCTATACAATACCTGTTAGGTGACTGCTAATCTTGGGCCTTTATCTCTTCTTTGGATTGTGGTCCAGAGTAAAGGTATTGGGCCTGTTCTGGGTTTTTCCACTAACACATTCTGTTACACAGGCTGCTTACTAATTTGAACTACAGGAAAACAAATTTATGAATAACTCTGCCGCAATTTTGATCGAATTATGCCGTCTCTTGATTTGGATGAAATCTGAGTTTGTGTGCAAAAAACTGGTTTTACTGAATGTTAAAATTTCTGCATGTTTTCTGGTATCATGACTCCATCAATGGCATTCCATGACCAACAGCAGGCGAGGTCCCAACCCTACCTTCTCCTTAGAGAAGAGGGGAACTTAACCCCTGATGGAATAATATCTGACTAATGGGATGACAAGCCACTGCAGCAAATGAGAGAATCTGAGCAACTACATCCTCAGGAAAGAGGAGAGACAAAAGGGGGAAAGCAAATAAAACCAGTGTTGAATGTAATGAACGCCAATTTCTGGATGAGCCTCAGAATCTCCTTGAAGCTACTATCACTGATTCGGTGCCATATTATACGGTGCCTTCAATCTTGGACTACTATTGGTCTACTGGGGACTACGAACCAGAACCTGGCCCCCCTCAGAGAGCCGCAAGGAGCGATGGCCTATGAACACTTAACATTTACAGTAATCATAATTGCCACCATCATGGAAGGCACCCAGAAAGTTAGGCAAAACAAAACAGGTAATAACATGGTTAAAATGAGACCACAGCTTCAAAAATTGCCAAAAGAACTCCCACCAATTGTGAAAACAAATCACCCAAATTTTGTGAAACTAGTGAAAGCTATTTTGCCCCACCTTTCCCCTCAATTGGGGGAAGGAGGGAGGTAGATCAGGTCAGCTGGGGCCCCACCACCCTCATTTCTATGAGAATGATGAAACACGCCGACACCCTGGGAAAGGAAGGATGTCAGAGAGCCTCTGGGGCTCGCCCAGAAATTGGGATTTCATAACATTTAATGCTAGTTTTCTTGAGAGAGCCCCCATTGGCTCCCTGAAGCTAACTACCCGCAGAGAAGGACAAAAATGGGCATGAACCAGGGAGGTGGTAGCACTGCAGGTAACAAGTCAAAAATACAACAGACAATCAGAACAAACCAAAGTCCCAAGGACCCAAAGTCACGCAGGTCCATCAAAGACCGGGAACAGGAAACTAGGGAAACAACAATGAGGCCACTGAAACAAAACTGGTGGCACAAAGGCTGTGGCAAAACAGTCACTCGACAACACACAGGATGCATCCCAGCCAAGGGATCCAAGCAACAAAAACCAAAGGACCCCCACCCGAAGACCACCAACCCAACCCTTGCCAGAAAAGAAGGAGCCAGTGTCAGACGACCAAATGCCCATCAGGGCTAAGTAAACAAAACATGGATTGAAGGGGCCACCACAAACGAGCAGAAGGAAAAGAATGAAACCTGTCCAGAGATCAGGCAGGCTCAAGCAGCGCACAAGCAGACTAAAGGTGGAAAATAGCATGAGAAAGCCCGCAAAATGGGGCCAAAAACAGTGACCCCGAATGCAAGCATGAGAGGCCCCACCAATGCCGAATGAGAAGAGGCAACAGCAATTGCCAAAAGATGCCAAACAAGAAATGGCCCCCAAAAAAGGACAAAACAATCTGGTCAAGCCAAAGAACAACAACGAAGGGATAGAAAAAGGCGAAAAGCTCGACGGCTGATTTTCTATGTGGTTCCGTCCAGGGTATGTCCATCGTCACGACCGATGGTCTGTCCTGTTTTTCCGTATTTGGCCTGGCGTTGCTGTTTCTCTGGCTTTGCCACTCCAAGTGACTCGAACCCATACTGCCAGGAGCACTCTGCAACTGGTGTACAGGACCCCTTAACCACTCTACCATCACAACCGGACAAAAGATGATGGTAGCCGAGGCTATATATGCATCATCCCCTATACTAGTATATGCTAATTCCCCATCATCATATATATATATATAATATATGATGATGAGGGAATTAGCCTCGGCTACCATCATCATTTGTCTGAACGTGATGGTCTAGTGGTTAAGGGGTCCTATACACCAGTTGCAGAGTGCTCCTGGCAGTATGGGTTCGAGTCACTTCTGGGGGTGTGAGTTTTCAGTTGCATATAGTCCTGGGGACCATTCAGGCTTGTTCGCATATATACATACATATATACACACACATGCATTCACATATATTTGTCTCTTTTACTCTGACAGGGTGAGATAGCTGATAGAGAAACTAGTGTGCAATTAAACACTTAATTACTGAAGGTAATTAAGGTGCTTTATAAGCTCAGGTTATATAATTACATCACATACATACATTCATTGTATAATTGATACATTACATGGTCAATCTTGAGTACAAGTCCAATATATCATCAAGTGTTCCAGTACTCATATAGTAATTACACAGTTCAGCATACCTCAGCCCAGGAGGGCGAAAGTCAGACAATATGGGACATTCTACAATATAATGTTCAAGAGAGTGCATGTTTTCTTTTTCACAAAGTTGACACATTGTGTACTCGACATTTGGGTTTTGAGAAAGCTGCCAGATACCTCTATATCCCAGGCGTATTCTGGCCACTATAACATCACATTCCCGGGTTCTTGTTCTATTAGTCCCATATGTGAATGTCTCCTCATGATACCAGTATCTATCGTAATATTTAATGCTATAACTTTCTCCTTCAATTGACTGTTGCCACAGTCTAATATATATATACATCAGCCCGGTATAGCTCCGGGGGGCCCTCGGGGTCTCGCCAAGAAAATGGCGTTTCATTACATTCAACGCTGTTTTTTTCTTAAGTCAGCTATGTATTTCAGGTGAGAGCCTTTGTGTAGGGGCCATTGTGAGAGAGGTTGGTCCGCATCAGGTTTGGCGACAGGTTGATGCTAACCAGAGAACACCTGTTGATGCAATACTGAGATCATCAGGTTATCGTGAACAGGGTAAGGTTGATACTGTACATTTATATTTGAATGGTAATTATGCATGTTACTTTGTTTGTTTTCAAAGGACGTTTTCTTCTCATCTATTATTGTAGCTTTAGCTTTTCTACAACTATCTTCCTTTTTCAATCATTAACAATGCTTTTGATTGTACACAGTATAATTTTCTGAGGTGAGTCCTGTTGGCTCCCTGAAGCTATCAAATTGACATGTGCTATATTAGTGTGGTGCAATCAGTCCTTGGAGTTTGAGTGCCTACTGGGGCCCATGAGCCAGAGCCTGGCCCCCTCAGAGAGGCCAACCTGTCCACTTACAAATTATATATCTCTTTTGCTCGTATGCGATATGGCCAAAAAAGGCTGTAATATGAAAATGAGAAATAATTAAAAATAAATTTTTGATTTTTTTCTGGGGGGGAGCCCCTATGGCTCCCCGGAGCTATCCAGGCTGATATGGATACCCTAATTATTTTGCATCAGTCGATGTGGGTGGAGTTCTAGGCCTACCGGGGACCACGAGCCAGAACCTGGTCCCCTCACAGAGGCACGAGGAGCAATGGTCCATAGAAATGCACATGTGATTTGGAGCATTCTATATCTGTCATTGACCGGGACAGGCACCCAGAAAGGTAAGCACCACAAAACAAACCCCAAACTCCCCAAAAGAAAAACAAGCAAACAAGCATGACGTCACACGAGCCTCATGTCTGCGCAGCTCTCTGCCTCCGGGAGGGGGAAGGGGAGCCCCAGACCCTCGCGCCGACATCCACACTTCAGTTCCTCGGGTGATGGGATCGTGCATAGTCAAGTGGCTCCAACTCCAACTACACATCAAGAAGTCAACACCAGCAATCAACAGCCAATTAATGCACAACTATATTCTACCCACTTCAAGACTCCGCTCCAATATAGAAGCATCAAGAAATATGGACCAATAGGCCCTCTGCAATTACTTCCATTCTTACCTTCAATACCCATTGTTTCGTGTTCTGGCTTGTGTTGAAAGTTTGTTTTCACCTCATCCAAAACTGTTGTAACATATCACCTCACCCAAATGCAGGTATAAAAAATCGAAGATGTTTAAGCTCTATTCAGTTATAGTTGTGTGTGTGTGTGTGTAAACTAAAAGTCTTTGAAAATGTAATAAGTTTTACGAAACGTGCTCAAGTGTCGCGTCAGACTAGAAATAAAAATGAATTTGGAGAATTGATTTTTCAATTGCCATCAACAGTGAAAAGAAACATAAGAAAGATCGAGAAAATTCGTGTTAGAATTATTAATCTTACTTTTTCGGTCATATTTAATAATATATACATATATACACACATATACACATATATTGATTGTGCTCACTCTACTGCTCCTACCTATAGGCTCAGAGCTGCCTAGGAATGCTGGCTCTGAGACTCTAACTAATCCTATTTAAGAGTTTTGCCACCCTCACACACAAGCTCCGCATTTCTCTAAGAAACTCTATTAAGGCAATGCCGGCAAGATTCACTTCGCTTGTTATTGTGTGAGGGACGCTATGGCAGGGCACAGTGAGTGAGCATTATTGAGAAGAGATCATGTTCAATGTCTGAGGGTGCGGCCTGGCTGGTATGGTGGAGCGCCTGACCCGCACGTCTGCTCTGCCCAGAGGCTGGGAACAGACTTCTTCTTTGATGGTGTCCTACCTGCGAGCTTCATCTCGGCGACAGTATTACATTCCTGGTGTTTTTATTCACCTTTTTCTTGCTCTTCGTAGGTTGTTTTCTCTTTTGCATTGGGTTGTCTTGTCCTTTCTTGGGTTTTCAGGGCTACAGTTATTTGATGTTTCATACTGTCGCCTCGCTTCGTGCGGCGCTGGCGGAGCTGCTCTGGCTTGCGTTCTGGGTGGACGTCACATCCGCCCCGTTCCATACGCTTTCTCGTGTTTTGTTTCACCTCCGGCTTGCTCATGCGTCACCCGAGCCATCCTGGTCCTTGATCAGGGTGCCCTCTTATCTTCTTTTCCTAAGCTTGTGGTAACCCCTTCGGTTCAAGTTTGGTTTTCATAGGCCATATTTTGTTGGCATGGGCCTCTGCGGGTCGGGTTGGGGGAGCTTCCGGCTCTCTTCCGGTGCATGGGTTTCTGCTCTTTTGGTACTGGTGGTAGGTTTGTATGTTTGCAGCCTTTCTCCGTCCTTCTGGAGACGGTCGAGACGGCTGCTCTCCGGAGGGGTCCTTAGGGTTATTAATGCTTGATTGGTTCGGCCGGGGGTGCGTCCTGTGTTGTCCGGTTGCGATGCTTTGCCGTTACCTGCGTACCGTGTCTGGGGATGCATTTTGGGTTGATCCGGTTCCCCTCGTTCCCTGTTTCAGGGCTCGGGTCTCCCAGGTCATCCTCAGAGTTTTTCCGTCTTCCAGCCTTCGGTCTGTCCTTGCGCCCGTGCTGTTCGGACGTTTGCAGCTTTTGCTGCTGTGTTGTTGACGTCTAGGGGCTCATTTCGGGCACAGGGATTTGAGGGTCGCACAGGTTCTTGGCCCTCCCATTCTTTATGCGCATCTGCTCCTGTGCGTTCTTGTTGCCTTGGATTGCAGGTTGCAGCCTGTTGTCTCGGCTTCGCGTTGTGGAGTTTGTGGCAGCCGCCTACCGGGTTAGCCCTTTCTTTACCTTCTCTTTAGGTATGAAGCTCCAGGAAGCCGTAGGGGCTCCCCACAGAAAACCAGCATTGAATGTAATGAAACGCCATTTTCTGGATGAGTCCCGGAGGTTCTCCAGCAACCCTCCCTCCTATCGGGTGGCGTTTTTTTCGCTTTGGTTGAAGCTTAGCTTCCGAATTGAACCTAGGCAGCTGGCGTGGTAGGTCCGGGGCTCCCCCTTCCCCTCTCGGGGCGGGGAGGGTTGCGCGGACGATCGGCGCGGCAGTAAAGTTTGGTATTTGCTTGTTTCCTTGTGATTGTAGGGAGTTTCTACCTCTCTGTTCATTTTTTTGTTTTAGTTTTTTACCATGTGGGGTTTGTTTTGTTATGCCTACCTTTCTGGGTGCCTGATTCCGGTCGATGGCAGATAAAGAAAACCCCAACCACAAGGGGGTTTTCCAGGGCCATTGCTCCATGAAACCTCTCTGAAAGGGCCGGGTTCTGGCGCTGGTCCCTGGTAGGTCTGAACTCCTTTGCTAATGTCCCGGTCTAATATAACATACATTAGCCCGATAAGCTCCAGGGAGCCGTAGGGGCTCACCCAGAAAATGGAGTTTCATTACATTCAACGGTGGTTTTTTTTTTTTTTTTTATAAAGAACCAAATTTGACTTTCAATGATAAGATTTCTAATGATTCCAATTTTTTATTTAAGAATGTGTAGTTATTGTGTTATGTCTTTTGGATTATTCCCTAGTGGACTTTGTAATTACAGTTTGTAATAACATCAAAAATTTTGTTTGATATAATTGTTTTCTAACTACTAGTATTTGTGTGTAATTTATCTTTTTTCTGTTTGCAGATATAGAACTTTTTTTTGAGGAATTTGTGAGATGTGGCTATCCTCACTCAACAGTTTCTTACCTAGATATGAAGCAGTTGATTTCTGAGTTAGGTTGGAAAGGTAAAGAAAAGGATATATTTAGGTAAGTTTCTTATCTGACATCAGTTACTCTTGTCATTCCTGGTTGATGGGGTTCCTGGGAGTTCTTCTACTCCCCAAGCCCGGCCCGAGGCCAGGCTTGACTTGTGAGAGTTTGGTCCACTAGGCTGTTGCTTGGAGCGGCCCGGAGGCCCACATACCCACCACAGCCCGGTTGGTCCGGCACTCCTTGAAGGAATAAATCTAGTTTCCTCTTGAAGATGTCCACGGTTGTTCCGGCAATATTTTCTTATGCTTAACCTCAAGAAGATACTCCACACAAGTGGAGTATCTTCTTGAGGTTATCTTGAGTTGATTTCGGGGCCTTTTTTTTTAGTGTCTCCGCGACCCGGTCCTCGACCAGGCCTCCACCCCCAGGAAGCAGCCCGTGACAGCTGACTAACTCCCAGGTACCTATTTACTGCTAGGTAACAGGGGCATCAGGGTGAAAGAAACTGCCCATCGTTTCTCGCCGGCACCCGGGATCGAACCCAGGACCACAGGATCATGTGTCCAGCATGCTGTGCGCTTGGTCGGAGTACCACAGGGTTCAGTTCTTGCACAGGTGATGTTCATTGTCTACATAAATGATCGACCAGTTGGAATACAGAATTATATGAACATGTTTGCTGATGATGCTAAGATAATAGGAAGGATAAGAAACTTAGATGATTGTCATGCCCTTCAAGATGACCTGGACAAATTAAGTATATGGAGCATCACTTGGCAAATGGAATTTAATGTGAATAAATGCCATGTTATGGAATGTGGAATAGGAGAACATAGACCCCACACAACCTATAAATTAAGTGAGAAAACCTTAAAGAATTCTGATAAAGAAAGAGATCTAGGGGTGGTTTTAGATAGAAAACTATCACCTGAGGACCACATAAAGAACGTTGTGTGAGGAGCCTATGCCATGCTTTCTAACTTCAGAATTACTTTTAAATACATGGATGGTGAAATACTAAAGAAATTGTTCATGACTTTTGTTAGGCCAAAGCTAGAATATGCAGCGGTTGTGTGGTGCCCATATCTTAAGAAGCACATCAACAAACTGGAAAAGGTGCAAAGACATGCTACTAAGTGGCTCCCAGAACTGAAGGGCAAGAGCTACGAGGAGAGGATAGTGGCATTAAATATGCCAAAACTAGAAGACAGAAGAAAAAGGTGATATGATCACTACATACAAAATAGTAACAGGAAATAATAAAATCGACAGGGAAGATTCCTGAGACCTGGAACTTCAAGAACAAGAGGTCATAGATTTAAACTAATTAAACAAAGATGCAGAAGAAATATAAGAAAATTCACTTTCGCAAACAGAGTGGTAGACGGTTGGAACAAGTGAGAAGGTGGTGGAGGCCAAGACCATCAGTAGTTTCAAAGCGTTTTATGACAGAGTGCTGGGTAGACAGGACACCACGAGCGTAGCTCTCATCCTGTAACTATACTTAGGTAATTACACCACTAGCAATGCTCCTGGTATGTTACTCAGCTTGACTGTGTCGTGGCATGGTCGTGTTTCCGCTCTGCAGGTGAGATTGTCCTGTCTGGCGACACGGTTGGCCAGGTGCTGGTTCTCGACTTCTGTGGGGTGCTTGCCTAGTTGTGCTTGCGGGGGGCTGAGCTCTGGCTCTTTGGTCCTGCTTCTCTACTGTGTTCGACGGGTGTGCGGTTTCCAGTGCCTACTGGGCTCTATCCTCTCTGCATTTGCTCCTGTGTGTGTGGCATCTGCCTCCACCACTTCGCATCCTAGTGCCTTCCATTTCCTACCTCGTCTGACATTGATCAGGTTCTTTTTAATGTCTGTGACTCATTTGGGTACTCAGCTTCCTCCTGTACTCACCTAGTTGTGTTTGCGGGGGTTGAGCTCTGGCTCTTTGGTCCCGCCTCTCAACCGTCAATCAACAGGTGTACAGATTCCTGAGCCTATCGGGCTCTGTCATATCTACACTTGAAACTGTGTATGGAGTCAGCCTCCACCACATCACTTCCTAATGCATTCCATTTGTCAACCACTCTGACACTAAAAAAGTTCTTTCTAATATCTCTGTGGCTCATTTGGGCACTCAGTTTCCACCTGTGTCCCCTAGTACGTGTGCCCCTTGTGTTAAATAGACTGTCTTTATCTACCCTATCAATCCCCTTCAGAATCTTGAATGTGGTGATCATGTCCCCCCTAACTCTTCTGTCTTCCAGCGAAGTGAGGTTTAATTCCCGTAGTCTCTCCTCGTAGCTCATACCTCTCAGCTCGGGTACTAGTCTGGTGGCAAACCTTTGAACCTTTTCCAGTTTAGTCTTATCCTTGACTAGATATGGACTCCATGCTGGGGCTGCATACTCCAGGATTGGCCTGACATATGTGGTATACAAAGTTCTGAATGATTCTTTACACAAGTTTCTGAATGCCGTTCGTATGTTGGCCAGCCTGGCATATGCCGCTGATGTTATCCGCTTGATATGTGCTGCAGGAGACAGGTCTGGCGTGATATCAACCCCCAAGTCTTTTTCCTTCTCTGACTCCTGAAGAATTTCCTCTCCCAGATGATACCTTGTATCTGGCCTCCTGCTCCCTACACCTATCTTCATTACATTACATTTGGTTGGGTTAAACTCTAACAACCATTTGTTCGACCATTCCTTCAGCTGGTCTAGGTCTTCTTGAAGCCTCAAACAGTCCTCTTCTGTTTTAATCCTTCTCATAATTTTAGCATCGTCCGCAAACATTGAGAGAAATGAATCGATACCCTTGTCCCGATATCCTATCCTGTGTCCCCTTGTGCATGTACCACCCTTGGGCGCTACTCCATCCTTGTTTACTCTGTCACTTCCCCGCTTGGCAGGGTTGTGTCAATGGCTCCCAACAGGGGTGTTGGGTGTTGTGTGTTTTGTTTGGACACCTTGCGGGTGTCTTCGGTGACTTTCTTGGGGGTCTTCGTTGCCCTGTGGGGCAATGCCCCGCATATCGGTGCTTTTTGTTTCGTTTTTCGGCTTCCTCTATTTGGACGCTTCCTCATTCCCTCGGTCCTTGTTTGTGTCCTCCTTTATTGCTTGGTCTCTGATCTCTGGACACTTTCTTGCTTATCTTCGGTGCCTGGCTGCACCCTTTTATCTATGGTGTCCCTCTGTGTATATGCACCTTCCACTACACATTTTGTGGTTGGTCGTGTTCATTGCCTTACCGGCTGCTACTTGGTCCGTATTCGGGGGTTTTCCTGGCCTTTTTCCATTTTTCCTCTTCCTATGCTACACTTGACTGTGTATCTGGATCGGTGCTTTTTGGCTGTACTGTTGTTGGGTTCTTGGATGGGCCTCTGTCCATGTTCAGTTCCCTGCTTTTGGACTACCCCGGTGTTCAATTTAGGTACTAAGTTCCTTCACTTTTTCTTGTATCTCACTGCAGGCTTCTGTGTTGCACTCTCTGTGGGGGGGGTTGCAGACTTTCGGTCCACTACTCCTGCCCTACTGGTTCCTTTTCTTGTGACGGGTAGCTGGGATTCCGGTCCTGGTTCCGGCTTTTCTTTGTTTCTTTTCCGGAACATGTGTTTTTGTTTTCCTGCGGATTCATGTCCTGCGTAGTTCTCCTCATGGATACCTCGAGGGATGTGTGCGTAGTTCTTCCCTGCTGGAGCCAGTTGCGCTGCTCCTTTGGGTTGCGGGGTCGCTGTTTTCGCTTTGCGCCTTGCACTTTCGTTCGTGGTGCTCATTTTCCTCATTGGCCTCTGCCTGGACCTGGCTCCTTGGTGTTTGGCCTTGTTGGTCCTTCAGGAATCCTAGGGGGTTCCTCCCGGATGGGGCATTTCTTCTTGCCCGGGTTGGTTCCTTTTTGGCTCTCTAGGATTGGGTTCCTTGTTCCCTGGCGGCTGTTCTTTTTGGTTTTGCCTGCCTGGCAGGACCTGCCACCTTCTTCGGTTCTGGTCCTGTGGATCTTACCGCGGCTCTGCCTCTTTTTGCGGATCGGTCCAGCTCTCTACTGGGCTGGTTCGTTTTTCCCCTCGGGTTTTTGCGTCTCGGGGGTTTTGTATCTAGTTCTCGTCGCTTGTGTGGGCACTGGAGGTTTCGTTGTTGGTCTCCTGCCTGCATGCTTTGTCTCGAAGGTGGTGTATAGTTTTCCTGGTGGTCCTTCCGGTTTTCCTATCAATGCAAAGGGTCCTTTGGTCTGTGATAGCATTGACTTGTCTTCCCTTCCGGGTTGTTCCGGGACCGTCTTCTGGGACCGTGTACTGTTGCCTCGTCTTGGATGGTGCTGGCGGGGCCACTCCAGCTTGCGTTCTATGTGGCTGTTCCTTCTGCTCCGTTCCGCTTGCTGTCTTGGGCGTTGTTTCACCTCCGGTCTACTCTTGATTTTCCGGTGCCGTCCTGGTCGTTGGCCTGGGTGGTCTGTTTTCTTCTTCTCCTCGTTTTGGTTTTTTAGGTTAGGGCGCGTGGCGTCCGCCTCCCGGATTCTTCCCTATTTTCCTTATCTGTGGTGAGGTAGCTCCGGGAGCCGATGGGGCTCCCATCCCCCAGAAAACCAGCGTTGAATGTAATGAAAAGCCATTTTCTGAGCGAGTCCTGGAGGCTCCCCAGCATCCCTCCCTCCCTCCCTCTGGTCGGCAGTGTTTTTCGCGTATTTTGACATCCAGCTTAAGAACTGCCAGTTGGATCGCCTACGTGGATGGTCTGGGGATCCCCCTTCCCCCTTTCGGGTAGGGGAGGTTCTGCAGACGGCGGTGCGGCGACGTGATGACGTCATGCTAGTTTGATAATTTTGTTTGGGGATTTCTGTCCACTCGTTCAGCTTTCGGTAGCAATATTTTCACCAGAATAGGGGTTTGTTTTGGGGCACCTACCTCTCTGGGTGTCTGTCCCGGTCGATGGCAGACATAGAATGCTCCTAACCACCGGGAGGTTTCTATAGGCCATTGCTCCTCGTGCCTCTCTGAGGGGGGCCAGGTTCTGGTTCGTGGTCCCCGGTAGGCAAGAACTCCAAGCACATTGACTGATGCCAGAAAGTTATACATATCCATTCAGCCTGGATAGCTCCAGGAAGTCTCCGGGACTCACCCAGCATTAGCAGTTTAAGGAGCATAACCAAGCAAATATTGCGTCAGCCAGAAAAATGATAGGATGGATTACAAGAACTTCAAATCCAGGGATCCCATCACAATGGTTGTACTCTTCAAGTCACTTGTGTTGTCCCATCTTGAGTACTGCTCAGTACTTGCTTCCCCCTTCAGAGCAGGAGAGAGTGCTGAAATAGAGGGAATACAGAGAACATATATACGGCACGCATAGACGAGATAAAACACCTAAATTATTGGGATCGTCTCAAAGCTCTCCAAATGTACTCTCTAGAAAGGAGACGAGAGAGATACCAAATAATATACACATGGAAAATACTGGAGGGCCAGGTCCCAAATCTACACAGTAAAATAACACCGTACTGGAGTGAACGATATGGAAGAAAATGCAAGATTGAACCAGTGAAGAGCAGAGGTGCCATAGGCACAATCAGAGAACACTGTATAAACATCAGAGGGCCGCGGTTGTTCAACGTCCTCCCAGCGACTATAAGAAATATTGCCGGAACAACCGTGGACATCTACAAGAGAAAACTGGACTGTTTTCTAAGAGGAAGTGCCGGACCAACCGGGCTGTGGTGGGTATGTGGGCCTGCGGGCCGCTCCAAGCAACAGCTTGGTGGACCAAACTCTTACAAGTCGAGTCTGGCCTCGGGCCGGGCTTGGGGAGTAGAAGAACTCCCAGAACCCCATCAAGCAGGTATCAAGCAGGTACCCAGAAAATGGCATTTCATTACATTCAACGCTGGTTTTTTGGACATTGTTAAAAGTAACTGATAATAACATTGGACAATGTATTTATATGATATGGTACCTGCTAGGCCCACAAAACTCCAAGCACATTGACTGATGCCAGAAAGTTGTACATATCCATTCAGCCTGGATAGCTCTGGGAAGCCTCTGGGTCTCCCCCAGAAAATGTCGTTTCATTACATTCAATGCTGGGGTTTTCTTTTTCAGAGCAATTGACAGAAAAAAAGAGGGGGAGTTAGGTGCGCGGGAGTTTATTTTGGGGCTGACCGCTATGGATCCAATGACAAGTCATGGAAAAGAACCTGCAGAATTAAGGTGTCGTTGCATATTTAAGTGAGTGATATTTTACTTCATACTTTTGTGTTCGTTACTGCAATACTTTTACTTGTTCAAGCCATTGATTTTTGCCAATACTTTGATGAATTAAGAAATTTTTCATTTGTAATTATCTAAACTGTAGTTAGAGGATGAGAGCTACACTCGTGGTGTCCGATCTTCCTGATACTCTGTGTCGTATGATGCTTTGAAACTGTTGACAGTTTTGGCATCTACCACCTTCTCACTTAACATTTTCGCCTACGGACGATGCAGCATTACGTCGTCCGCTCAGCAACAGGAGTCCCACTAATGACGCAGCATTCCGTCGTCGGTGCAGGAAAGTAGCGGCATCTTCGGGAAAGTCTTGCCGCAGTTTTGAACTTTATATGCATATACTCCTGTAGGGAATTTCATTGCGAATACATTGATACCAATATGAAAGACCTAGGACCAGAATTGAGGTAACAAAGTTGAATTGTCTCCACTCGATCATCTGGACTACATGGGAAAGACCCCCAACCGGATTAACACATTTTTCGGATAATGGTACTTTTTCACCTACGAGTCCAAAAGTGACCATTTCCAACAATTTTTATACTACAAAGAACATAATTTGAATTGCCTTGCCACATTTAATTACTGTATTAATATTCAACAAGAAACCTCAACTTACCTTGTTGGTGTTCGTCTTCTTGATTGATGCCACACATCTTGAAGTTAAGAATTCTTAACAATTTACATAACCTATACTAACACAACACCAAAATTAACACTTAAAATTACTGTACAGTTCATTAAAACATGCTTGTCAGTTACAAAGGGAAGGACAAGGGGTCAGGGGCTGGAATTAGATGGATGAGATGACCAAGTGTTAAGGGAGGAGTACATGTGAAGAGACTGAGTTTGAGGCTGTAATATGGTCAATAACTGAAGAGGAATGCAAAGGTAATTTGTCTTTTTATTATTAAAAATAGTATATTTAGTGGTATTTATAACTGATTTTGATATATTGTAGGTATTATGATAAAAATGATGATGGAGTTCTGGAGGTGCACGAAGTGAAGGAAATGGTGCGGGACATTGCTGTATTACATGGTCATGAAATTACTGATGAGATCATTAAGGAAAAAAGTAAAGCAGCTCTTGAGTAAGTACATTTTTTTCTTACCAGATTATATATTCCTGATCATATATTCTACGTGATTGTACAAACTTAAATGACGTCCTTAACACCAGTGTCTTTCTGTTGGGAAGCCCTTGGTGGCTCCCTGTAGCTATCTTGCTGAGATTGCACCATGCTACAAAGTCACATCAGTCACAGGATTTCTGTTTGGCCTAAAAGGGACAAGAGCTAGAACCCGGATCCCTTGCAGGGGCTGAGAGCAAATGTCATTGTGCCATTTCACCATGAAAGCATTCACAAAGTCAACGAAACTTTACAGGCATCGGTTGGGTTCACAAGAACCAAAGCCTTGAAGTCAGATAAACTCCCCTGTAGCCCGGTCTCTGATCAGGCTTCCTGGTTGGTGGTCTGGTCAATCAGGCTGTTCAATGCTGCTGCTTGCAGCCTGATGTATGAGTCAATCTGGTTGATTAGGTATTCTCTGAATGTCTTTATCAATTTATTTCCTGGGGGAGAGCCAAAATGGACTCTTCATCCCCTTCTTTTATTGTGAGAACTCTTTCTCACAATGAGGGGAGAGTGGTCATTTTGGCTCCTTTGTGGCCAGTTCAGCCTTGGTATCGGGCGCTGCTTGCTCAGTGTCCGAATCTGGGTGTTTTTCTGCAGCTCTGCCCTCTATCAGCGGGTCGTCCCAGTGACGTACTTCTCTGGTTCTTCTCCACTGCTCTACGTGTCTGAATTTTGTAATGTGTATTTATAGCCATGTCTGTGGTGATCAAGTGGTGGCGTTGCTTGTGACCAACCTACGGTCTATCTCAAAGCGGCAGTACGAGGTATCATGATTCTCGTTTTGTCACTTCCTTTCTCTTCATCGTTGTTCCTCGGTATCTGAGCAGGTAGTCCTCTCCTTTTTTTCTTGGCTTTTTCGTTGATCAGCATCTTATACCAAATAATGTTGCCTCGTAACATGTGGCGTTGGTGGAGCTGATGTAGCGTGCTTTCGGGGTTGAAACTACCTTGGCTCCATTTCACTAGCGTATTGGTTCACCTCCAGCCTGCTTATGCACCACCTGAGCTTGCTTGGTCTCTTGACCATGGTCTTTTTTTTTTCTTTTGTCTGCTTGTTTTGTGGTAGTCCCTTTGGTCTGGAATTGTTTTTGAAGGTTTTGTTCTTGGTTTCTTTCGCCTCCGGCTGTTGGGTGGGCGAGCTTCATGCTCTATTCTGGCATTGGGATTTTTCGTTCTTTTGGCCCTGGTGGGCATTTTGTTTACTTGCAGCTGGCTTCTTCTTTTCTGTGGGGAGCCCCTACAGCTCCCTGGAGCTTATCGGGCTAATGTATGTTACATTAGACCGGGACATTAGCTAAGGAGTTCAGACCTACTAGGGACCAGCACCAGAACCTGGCCCGTTCAGAGCGGTTTCAGGGAGCAATGGCACTGGAAAACCCTCTTGTGGTTGGAGTTTTCCTTATCTGCCATCGACCGGGGTTAGGCACCCAGAAAGGTAGGCATAACAAAGCAAACCCCACATGGTAAAAAACTAAAACAAAAAATCGAACAGAGAGGTAGAAACTCCCTACAATCCCAAGGAAAGAAGCAAACATCACACTTTACTGCCACGCCGATCGTCCGCGCAGCCCTCCCCGCCCCGAGAGGGGGAGGGGGGGAGCCCCGGACCTCACCGCGCCGGCTGCCTCCGGCGCAAACCCCGCAAGAGGACAGCGTACCCAAGCGGAACAGAGCCGGCCGCTATGGTTGGTAAAGACAAGCTGCACAGTACCCTGCGCCCCACCAGTGCAAAACTGCCCCTTACTCTAAGGCGAACAAGGGAGACAGAACACCCGAGCACACAAAGAGCGGCCGAAAACCAAGCAGTAAACGGACTAGCAGGGTCAGGACCCAAGGAACTTGTAGAAGGTGGCCCCAAGCCCCAAGGTCAGTACTTACAGGGCACCTAGGGAAGGGAACCCTAGACGCATGCAGCCCGAGTACTGGAGAATCACTCCAGGCTCACTCACCATCTAAAAAACAGACACCACACTCTAGGTACAGTGCTGAAACAACCACTGGAGCCGGAGCACATAACCGGTGCCCATAGCATCAGCCGAAGAACTGAAGGGTGGATAGTTGGCGTGGGAGGTCTGTGGCTCCCCCTTCCCCCTCCTGGGGGAGGTGGGGAGCTGCGCAGACAGCGGCGCGGTGACGTGTGACGTCATACTAGTTTGCTTGTTTTCTGTTGAGGAGTTCTATCCACTAGTTCGGCTTTAGGTAGCAATTTTCACCAGAATAGGGGTTTGTTTTGGAATGCTTACCTTTCTGGATGCTTGACCCGGTCGATGGCAGACATAGAATGCTTCCTACCACATGGGGGTTTCTATAGGCCATTTCTCCCCTTGACTCTCTGAGGGGGCCAGGTTCTGGCCGTGGTCCCCGGTAGGCCTTAGAACTCCATACACATGACTGATGCCAAAGTCTGACATTAGCATATCAGCCTGGTAAAGCTCCGGGGAGCCTCCGGGTCTCACCCAGAAAATGGCATTTCATTACATTCAACGCTGGTTTTTTCTAAGTTGTTTGTTTTAGAGCATTTTGGCTTTCTTGGGATCTTCTTAAGGAATCTATGATGTCTAGTTTCCTAATTTTCCTCTATGAGTGAGCCAAGTTTTGATCTTGGACCCTGGATGGCACTTGTGGGGTCATAGATTCCTGATGTGTGCCCAAAGACTTGGATGCTTCCAGGTCATAGCATCAGAGAGTTTCTGAATGGCCCATCACTATAGTATGAGGTATTTAATTACATTCAATCCTGGATTTTTTAATATAATTTTGTAATGCTTTTATTTCATTTTTTCAGAATTTTTGGTGTAGGCAGTGACTCAAAAGTGCCTCTGCTAAATTTTCTCTTGGCTGTGAGTTCTCTTCGGTTTCGGGGTACTTCCTTGCTCTTCCGTTCCAGCATGTCTGTCGTCCCCCATTTGGTTCACAAAAATGGGTTAGCCAGGTAATTATATACTTTTAAGGTAAAGTTGTGCATAATTTGGGTCAGTATTAATCAGTTTAATATTTTTATACTAGTCTCACATATTGGACTATACTATTTATTGAAATTAAGGATTCCCCAAAATATAGAGTTCTGAATTTAGTGCACTTCATGTTGTCATGAAGGGTGTATTCCCAGACATCTTGCAGGAAAGGTGTCTGTATGTAGTGGCACCTTGTACCAACACACTCATTATGTCTGGACCTGTTCCTTTTACCAAGGATTCTTGTCTATTAAGCATTTTGCTATTTTCATTTTATTGCTAAAGGTTTTTAATTTTTCTGACATCAAATAATACAACACATCCTTTTACACATGTAGACAACAACTCATCCTCCTAATTTCAATCAAAACAAATCAAAATCAAATCAAATGTTTATTAAGGTAAAAATACATACATACAAGATGAGTTACAAATATAATGTTGGATTTCTGGATAGAACTAGTACAGTGGTACCTCGAATAACGAATTTAATCCGTTCCGGTGCCGTCGTCGTCATGTGAAATGGACGTCATACAAAACAAATGTCTCCATTGACATTAATGGTAATCAAATTAATCCGTTCTACCACCAAAAAACATCACTATAATATTCAATGTTTTACATAATGGAGCAGCCTACCTTACATACACTATACATACAATTAGGGGGGGGCCCTGTTAGCCTGGTGGATAGTGCGCAGGACTCGTAATTTTGTGGGGCGTGTTCGATTCCCGCACCAGGCAGAAACAAGTAGGCAAAGTTTCTTTCACCCTGAATGCCCCTGTTACCTAGCAGTAAATAGGTACCTGGGAGTTAGTCAGCTGTCACGGGCTGCTTCCTGGGGTGTATGTGTGTATGGTGTGGAGGAAAAAAAAATAGTAGTTAGTAAACAGTTGATTGACAGTTGAAAGGCGGGCCGAAAGAGCAAAGCTCAACCCCCGCAAACACAACTAGGTGAATACACTGCACAAACCTTCATAAAATTTTTCTTTCTTCAAATTTGTTCAATATTTATTTTTCATTTGTCTTATAAAAGGTTCGTTTGGTGGTCGGCAGGTAGGCTGCTCCGTGTTTCTTAAATAAAAAAATAAAAAATAAAAAATAAAAAATGTTGAAACAATTTGAATAATGGACAAATGCCATAAAGGTTCGTTCAGTGTTTGATGGGTAGGGTGCTCCATTATAACAATCTTTCTTTGTTTCAAATGTGTTCCATATGTTTTGTATTTTTCATTTATGTCTCAATAATGGAGCAGCCTACCCGACAAACATTGAACGAACCTTTATGGCATTTGTCCAATTTTCAAATTGTTTCAACTGTTTTTTTTTATTTAAGAAACATGGAGCAGCGTACCTATAGACAACCGAACGAACCTTTTTGACATTTGTTCTGGTTTTCAAAATTCTTCATTTTTCTTGGGGAGCCTCTACGGCTCCCCAGAGCTTACCAGGCTGATATGCTAATGTCAAACTTTGGCATCAGTCATGTGTATGGAGTTCTTATGGACCTACCGGGAGCACGGCCAGAACCTGGCCCCCTCAGAGAGGCAAGGGAAGCAATGGCCTATAGAAACCCACATGTGGTTGGAAGCATTCTATATCTGCCATCGACTGGGTTAGGCACCCAGAAAGGTAGGCGTCCCAAAACAAACCCCTATTCTGATGAAAATTGCAACCAAAAACCGAACGAGTAGATAGAACTCCCCAAACAAAAACGAGCAAACTAGTATGACGTCACCCATCATCGCGCTGCTGTCTGTGCAGCTTCCCCCTCCCCGGGAGGGGGAAGGGGATGCCCCAGACCTACCACGCCGGCGATCCACACCTCAGTTCTTCAGCTGATGCTAATGGTACCGGTTATGTGCTCCGGCTCCAGTGGTTGTTTCAGCACTGTACTTAGAGTGTGATGTCTGTCTTCTAGGTGGTGCGTGAGCCAGGAGAGAGTCTCCAGTACTCGGGCTGCATGCGCCTAGGGTTCCCTTCCTTAGGTGCCCTGTAAGTACTGCCCTTTGGGCTTGGGGCCACCTTCCACAAGTTCCTTGGGTCCTGCTTCTGCTAGGCCGTTTGCTGCTCGGTTTTCGGCCGCCCTTTGTGTGATGGGGGGTTCTGTCTCCCTTGTTCGCCTTAGGATAAGGGGCAGTTTGCACTAGCGGGGCACAGGGTGCTGCACAGCTTGTTTTCACCAATCATAGCGGCCGGCTCTGTTCCGCCTGGGTACGCTGTACTCTTGCAGGGTTTTCTTTTACTTTTTGTTTGTCTACCTGGTTGGGGCTCTGCCTTTGGTTCTTTCCCCCTTTGTGGTGAGTCTCTTCCTTCTTCAGGTGGTTCCCCCTGCTAGGTCCCCGTGAGTGTACACGTCCCGGGGGTTCAGTTCTTAGAATGTTGTTTGGTAGACATGGACGCTGGTTAGCAGTACCCTGCCTGGGATTACCTGAGCGTGAGTCCTCTTATAGTAAATGCTTGGGACCTTGGGAAACCCATAGGGGGAGCGTGGGCCCGATAGATGTGGCCCTAGAGTCCCCTCCCTCGCTTTGTGCGAGTTTGAGGGTTACTCTGTCCCCTTGTCTCAGGGTGACTCTCACGGTTTTGCCTCCGTCTGCAGCCTGTGGGGTCGGTGGCACCTTTGGCCCAGGATCCTGCAAGTTTTGTTGCTTGTTTGTGACTCGGTTACCCAGTCTTACACTGACTACTGTATGTGAGTGCATGCTGCACGGGCGTTGCACATTGGGTTTCAGTGGCAACGCGCTAGTTGTTTGCTCCCCGCAAACCTCGAGGCTGCCCCGGTTTCGTTGGTTGTCTTGTCGGGTCCCCCCCCCCCTTCCTCTCTACATCCGGGTCTTTACCGTCTGTGGGTTTGGGGTCGGGGCGGGGCTTCCATGGTTTTGAGACTCGGTTGGTCTCGGGGACTTCCCCTTCCGGGGTAGCGACGGGGGTATTCGAGCCTGTTTCCTTCAGCCGTGTTGTAAGAGTCTGAGTCGGCAGCCCAGGTGTGGGCTGCCTAATGTGTTCCATCGGTTGCCTGTTACACTGCTCATGTTTGTTCTAACGTCCCTGTGGCTCGGTTGGGTACCTGGTTTCCACCTGTGTCCCCTTGTTGTGTGCCACTTGTGTTACAGTTTGTCTTTTTCTACCCTGTCACTTCCTCTGGGAGTGTGGTGACGTTTTGCTGTGGTTTTGATATTGCGACTGCGTGTGGGGGTATCTTCTTGAGGTTATCTTGAGATGATTTCGGGGCTTTTTTGTGTCCCCGCGGCCCGGTCCTCGACCAGGCCTCCACCCCCAGGTAGCAGCCCGTGACAGCTGACTAACACCCAGGTACCTATTTACTGCTAGGTAACAGGGGCATAGGGTCAAAGAAACTGTCCGTGGTTTCTCGCCGGCGCCCGGGATTGAACCCGGGACCACAGGATCACGTGTCCAGCGTGCTGTCCGCTTGGTCGGAGTACCACAGGGTTCAGTTCTTGCACCGGTGATGTTTTGAGGCGCTTACCTTTCTGGGTGCCTGTTCCGGTCGATGGCAGACATAGAATGCTTCCAACCACACGGGGGCTTCTATAGGCCATTGCTCCCCTTGCCTCTCTGAGGGGGCCCGGTTCTGGCCGTGGTCCCCGGTAGGCCTAAGAACTCCATACACATGACTGATGCCAAAGTCTGACATTAGCATATCAGCCTGGGATAGCTCCGGGGAGCCAACTGGGCTCCCCCCAGAAAAGTACAGTACAGTATATATTGAACTTTGGATCTGTAAAATACATTAACAGTTGTAATATAATTCTAAAATATTTCATTGAAATTAACCAGTAACCTTCTATTCATGCAGAAAAAAGGAGCACCAAACTCCATTTGGAATCCCTGCCACACCCAGACTGGATTGCCCATTTTCACCTGGACTGAAACCCAAAAAGTTTAAAAAGAATTCTACAATGGATTATGAAGACAACGAGAATAACGTTTCTTCTAGGAATACTGTTTCTCGGGAGAAGGAAAAGGGTAACCAGGATGTGGAGATGCAGTGTCTTAGCAGCAACTCAGAGGGTAAAAAAATATTGATTGTTTTGTATACATGTCAAAAGAACAGTTCATTTGCAGAAGCACGTTAAAAGTGAGTGTTAATTGTTTTGATCATAGTTCTTATGTTTTTCAGAAGGATGGATTAAATTTGTATAATTTGTGTTGATATATTTATATTATTTATTCTGTCATTACTAGAGTATTTTTAGGAGAGTTTCCTCTGAGGCTTTCTAAAGCCTAAACAGTTCCACATATGTACAAAATAGTATCAGTAATCAACAAAATTGACACAGGAATTTTTTAAACCTGCCACTTAAAAAAAAATCAGCGTTGAATGTAATGAAACGCCATTTTCTGGGTGAGACCCCATAGGCTTCCCAGAGCTTACTAGGCTGATATGCTAATGTCAAACTTTGGCATCAGTCATGTGTATGGAGTTCTGTGGGCCTACCGGGGACCACGAACCTGAACCTGGCCCATGCCTCAGAAGAGGCAAGGGAAGCAATGGCCTATAGAAACCCCCGTGTGGTTGGAAGCATTCTATGTCTGCCATCGACCGGGTTAGGCACCCAGAAAGGTAAGCATCCCAAAATAAACCCCTATTCTGGTGAAAATATTGGTACCAAAAGCCGAACAAGTGGATAGAACTCCCCTAAACGAAGCGAGCAAACGATCATGACGTTACACGTTGCCGCACCGCTGTCTGCGCAGCTTTCCCCTCCCTGAGGAAGGGAAGTGGGAGCCCCCAGAGCCCTCACGCCGGCTATCCACCCGTCAGTTCTAAGGCTGATGCTAAAGGCTGAGGTTGTGTGCTCTGGCTCAGGTGGTTGTTTCAGCACTGTACCTAGTGTGTGGCAGTGCGCACCACTGTCTTCTAGGTGGTGCGTGAGCCGAAAGTAATTCTCCAGTAATCGGGTTGCATGCGCCTATGGTTTCCTTCCCTAGGTGCCCTTGTAAGTACTGCCCTTGGGGCTTGGGGCTACCTTCCACAAGTTCCTTGGGTTCTGCCCTTGCTAGGCCATTTACTGCTTGATTTTCGGCCACCCTTTGTGTGCTAGGGTGTTCTGTCTCCCTTGTTCGCCTTGGGGTTGGGGGCAGTTTGCACTGGTAGGGGCACAGGGTACTGCGCAGCTTGTTTTCACCTATCATAGCGGCCGGTTCTGTTCCGCGTGGGAATGTTGTCCTCTTGCGGAGTTTTTCTTTTTCTTTTTGTTTGTCGGCCTGGTGGGGGGGTCTGCCTTGGTTCTTTCTCCCTGTGTACTGGGTATTCTTCTCTCTTCCGGTGGTTCCCCCTGCTAGGTCCCCGTGAGTGTACACTTCCCAGGGGTTCAGTTCTTAGAATGTTGTTTGGTATTTTTGGGCGTTGGTTAGCAGTACCCTGCCTGGGATTACCTGGGCATGAGTCCCAGTAGGTAAACGCGCAGGACCCTGGGAAACCCCTAGGGGGCGCGTGGGTTCGATGGATGTGGCCCCAGGAGCCCCTTCCCCCTCGCTTTGTGCGAGTTTGAGGGTTGCTCTGTCCCCTTGTCTCAGGGTGACAAATTGTTTTGCCTCCGTCTGCTGCCTGCGGGGTCGGTGGCACCTTCAGCCTGGAGCCGTGCGAGTTTTGTTGCTTGTTTGTGGCTCGATTATCCAGTCTTATGCTGACTATGCGGGTGCAGGCAGCATGGGCGTTGCTAGTTTTCAGTGGTGCAACGTGCTAGGTCGTTTGCTCCTCGGGAGCCCCAGGGCTGCCCCTTTGCTTGTCTGCTCCCCAGGGGTGTGGTTCTTTCCAGATTGCCGGGTTCAGTTTCCTGGTGATCTGGAGGCCGTTCTATCTGTTTCTGTCCCAGGTTCGGACCTGGCTGGGTCTTGTTTAGGGCTCTTGGGCCGCTCCTTGTCTTTCCCTCCAGAAGTGTTGCTGCGGCTGTGGTCCCGCCTTCGGCTGTTTATGAGGGGGTCCCGGGGTGCTCGGCGGTTGCTCGAGCGGTTGTGCGGGAGTAGGAACTTCGACGTGCTGGTCTGCCCGCAGGGTCGGGTTTGGCGTCGGCGTCTGTTTGGTTCCTTCGGAGACCCCTCCCGCCTCTCTTGCAATCATTGGGTTCGTCCTCCGGGGATCTTGTGTTGGTGTTGCATCACCAGCTTCCTCTTTGGGGTTTTCGGGGTTCCGTGCCTTGGCACCTCCCCGAGCCTTCGCTCGATGTGTTCATGGACGGGCCATCTCTCGGCTGGGGCTTTGTGACCAGTGGTCAGCAGGTCGGCCGGGGATGGTGGGGTCTGTCTGTCCGTTGGGTTCACAGCACGGTTCAAGAGTTCGTGACTGTCTGGTTTTGCGCTTCGGAGAGTTCGGGTCACTCGGTGCTCTACCATCCAGCTCTATTTGGACTGTTCTCGTGCGGGTTCTTTGCCGGAACTACATGGTTTCTCTTAGGTGTTTGGCCTTTGGGGTTGGTCCCTTCGAATGGCTCGTTTGCTGGATTCTCGGGATTTGGCTAACCGTGAGTTTCATATCTTGGCGAACAGCCTGTCTCAGTTCATTCCTGTGTTCGCAGATTGGCCAGTCGTCGCCGACGCGTTTCGTTGGCTCTGCCGGATGTATGGACTCCTGGCCATGGACTACTTCGTGTCGGCATGGTCTAGGCATTGCCCTTTCCCGCCTGCGAGGTGTTCACGGTGGATGTCTTTTGGCAGGATTGGTCGAGGTAGGGGTATCTGTTCCTCTACTCCTGGTCCAGCTGTTGCTTCGGGTTCTGGCTTGGTTGGAATCCATTTCCAAGGAGAGTAGTTTTTATGGTCCCTTGGTGGCCAGCCCAGCTTTATTTTTTGACGCTGCTTGATAGGTGTCCGAACCTGGGGCGTTTTCCTGCGGCTCCACCTCTTTCAGCAGGTCGGACCGGTCCTGTACATAACTGGTTCGACCTTCTCCTCGGCTCTTCGCGCCTGGTATTTTGACGCGGGTGTATCACCATCCCTGTGGTGATCAGGTGGCTTCATTCATGGTGTCCCACCTGCGAGCTTTGTCTCGGCGATAGTATGATGTTCCTGGTGTTTTTATGCACGTTTTTCTTGCTCTTCATAGGTTGTCTTCTCTTTCGCATCGGGTTGTGTTGTCCTTTCTTGGGTTTTCAGGACTAAAGTTATTTGATGTTTTTTACCGTCGCCTCGTTTTGTGCGGCACTGGTGGAGCCACTCCGGCTTGTGTTCGGGTAGACGTCATCTGCCCCATTTCATATGCTTTCTTGTGTTTTGTTTCACCTCTGGCTTGCTCATGCGTCGCTTGAGCCGTTCGGTTCAAGTTTGGTTTTCATTGGCCATATTTTGTTGGCATGGGCCTCTGCGGGTCGGGTCGGGAGCTTCCGGCTCTCTTCTGGTGCAGGGTTTTCTGCTCTTTGATACTGGTGGTAGGTTTGTACATTTGCAGCCTTTCACTGTCTTTCTGGCAATGGTCGAGACTGCTGCTTTCCGGAGGGGTCCTTGGGTTATTGATGCTTGATTGGTTCGGCCGGGGGTGCGTCCTGTATTGTCTGGTTGCACTTTTTGCCGTTACCTGCGTACCGTGTCTGGAGATGCGCTTTGGGTTGATCAGGTTCCCCTCGTTCCCTGTTTCAGGGCTCGGGTCTCCCAGGTCGTCCGCAGAGTTTTTAAGTCTTCCAGCCTATCCTTGCGCCCGTGCTGTTTGGACGTTTGCAGTTTTCGCTGCTGTGTTGGTGACATCTAGGGCTCATTTTGGGGGCAAGGATTTGAGGGTCGCACAGTTTCCTGGCCGCCCGTACTTTATGCGCGTGTCTGCTCCTGTGTGTTCTTGTTGCCTTGGGTCGCAGGTTGCAGCCTGTTGTCTCGGCTTCGCGTTGCGGAGTTTGTGGCGGCCGCCTCCCAGGTCAGCCCTTTCTGTTCCTTCTCTTTGGATGTGAAGCTCTAGGGAGCCATAGGGGCTCCCCACAGAAATCCAGCGTTGAATGTTATGAAATGCCATTTTCTGGGTGAGCCACAGAGGCTCCCTGGCAACTCTCCCTCCCACCGGTCGGCGGTTTTTTCGCGTTGGTTGAAGCTTGGCTTCCGAACTGATGCTAGGCAGCCGGCCTGGTGAGGTCCTTGGCTCCCCCCTCCCCCTCTCAGGCCGGGAAGGGCTGCGCGGACGATCGGCACGCCAGTGAAGTGTGATGTTAGCTTGTTTCCTTGGGATTGTAGGGAGTTTCTACCACTCTGTTCGGTTTTTTGTTTTAGTTTTTTACCATGTGGGGCTTGTTTTGTTATGCCTACCTTTCTGGGTGCCTAACCCCGGTCGATGGCAGATAAGGAAAACCCCAACCACAAGGGGGTTTTCCAGGACCATTGCTCCCTGAAACCTCTCTGAAGGGGCCAGGTTCTGGCGCTGGTCCCTGGTAGGTTTGAACTCCTTAGCTAATGTCCCGGTCTAATATAATATACATTAGCCCGATAAGCTCCAGGGAACCTCCGAGGCTCGCCCAGAAAATGGCGTTTCATTACATTCAACGCTGTTTTTTTTTTTTTTTTACAGCTTCAATTCCTCTAAGTGGTGGAGCGTTTCAATGTTCCAACCCTGACAACTATGTCCTTGCTCAACACACAGTGAAGGTACGAAGATCAGGTCAGATCACCGACATTCATCTCCTCCTTGATATGGAACGTAAGTTTTGCATTCATTTTAAATTTACCTTATTTCAAATGCTATTTTCTGGGGGGGAGCCCCCTGTTTAAGCTCCCCAGAGCTTATACAGGCTGTTATAGAACTATTAGACTTTGGCATCAGTCAGTGTAAATGGAGTTCTTAGGCCTATCGGGGACCACGAGCCAGAACCTGGGCCTCCTCAGGTTCAGAGAAGGGAACACAGAGCATTCAGGGAAAAACTTGCCATTTAATTCTGAATACGTAAGAGTGTTCGCTTCTTCTACCACCCCCCTTTTTTTATGGTGTACACTTTATTATGCAAGGTTATACAGTTACATATCTGATTTTATACAAAAAATTAACATTAAGAGGACACAAAAAAAAGTTCGCTTCCTAGAGGCTGTAGATTTCCTCGAACTCCTCCGACGCCGGGCTGGAACCGAGGATGCAGCGAGCATTCCCCCTCTGGATCGCGACACTGAGGCGCTGAAAGAGAAAACTTGCTGCTCTAGGGTCTCTTGTGGTGTCAATGAGCTTGGAACCAAGATCCTTAAGAAACCTTCTTGCACTCTCTCCCCATGGGCCTAGAGTCTCAGACCCTATTGGAACAAAGTTGTACCGATGATCTAATTGCCTGTACTTGGCTGACTTGTCTCTTTCTCTGCGTGTCGCCGCGGCTCCTGCTGTGCCGGCAGAGAGGTTGATGTATGTGGTTGCCAGGGTGGATACACAAGTATAGTCCCATGCCAACTGTCTGCCACCCTTCCACGGTCGCAGTGTGATTCCGTCTGGTCGGCCGGCAAAGCTAACAGAGTCACGGTTCAGTCGGTTGCGGGGCTCTCTCTCCGCTGGACACTGAGCAGAGACAAGGCTTCTTTTAATGATGTCATTGACTTCGTCGTGTCTAGTGTGCCAACCACCAGATTTTCCACAGTGCAGGCCATGCAATCCATATTCGTCAGCATCTACCTCGCCGCAAATACACCTATGAACAATGTGGATAGGGGCAGCAAGACGGAGAGCGACTGCAATACGGAGCTCCTGCGGATCAAGACGTGTGCCTGTCGCAGACATAGGGACTGCCAAAAGGAAGTCCCCTGCATGGGGAGCCTGGACAGCTGTGAGGCGTGCACGATCACTGGGGGTTGTTGCTGCCTCCAGCAAAGCTGTGGCTTCTTTGTCTACAATTGGGCTGTCCCAGCTGGATTGTTTTTTGGCTTTCGGCATGGCTGGTCTGAGTGCTGGGTCTGCCATGGCACCCCATTTCGTGTCGCATTCCGTGTAGTGGGGGTCCTATATCCCCGCTACATCACTCAGGGTGTCTTTCTTTCTTTCTTTCTTTCTTTCTTTCTTTCTTTCTTTCTTTCTTTCCTGGTTTCTTGCACATTCGGTGGGAACCAGATGCGGAGCATTGGGTCTGTAGAAATGTCAAACACAGTTTGCTGCCTTGTCATGTAGAGTTGAGGGCTGGGAAGTTCAAGTTAGATGTATTTTCTGGGGAAAGTCCATTGTGGCTCCTTGAAGCTGTCATACACTGATAGGGTACCATCTACTAGGTCAAATGAGCCACAGAATTCCATTGGCCTATTGGGACCAGTGCCAGAACCTGACTCTTCCCTCACAGAGGGGAAAGGAAACAGTAAAATTTATTTATTTATGCCACCACCAGAGATGGCAACCAGAAAGTCAGCAAGTCAAAACAAACCACTGCTGGCTTCAGTAGAGACCACACCCTCTAAACTGTACCAGAAGAACTTCCCAACTATGTAAGCAAAATATTGAAATCTCTTGGAACTAGCAAAAGCTTGTTCGTCCCATCTCCTCACTCGTTTGGGGGAAGTAGAGGATGAAGATATAGTCGGCTGCCCTCTCCACCCTCAGTTCTGTGCTGATGTAGTGAGTACCAGGTCACCTCTCTTCCTCTCTGGCTCCGGTGTTTTGCTGTTTCAGCTAAGTGGTGGTTTTTGCCTTTGGTGGCATTTCCTTTACACTGCAATGTAGCACGAGCCATAAATATGTGTGTGTTTGGGGCTAAGTGTGCAAAAGGTTACCTTGTCTGTGTGCTCACTAGTGTTGCACACTAGTGAGCAACCATTATCAACCACACTAGACAACCATTATCATGGTTGTCTTCCCCTTGAGTGTTCAGGTGTCATTCCCTTAGAGGTCCTCCTTGCTTGTGGCGGCCCTTGCCCAGGGTAAGTCAGATGTCTTGGAACTTTGCTGTTCTTACTTGGGTTGGAAGTGACATTTTGCTTTCGGTGCACACTGGCTGCTCACATGCTTCTCCAAGCGCACTGACATCACCTTTCACAGCAGCGTGAACCAGGCTATATTGGCTTATTATATAAAAGGGTCCAGTGTAGTGTCCCAGTGCCTTTGTCATCTTGCTTAGTTTACAATTTGGGCTCTGGAAATCAACTACAGGCTCGGTGGTCCCATGGATAGCCTTCCCTTTCCCGAACCTGCTCTTGTTTCGTGTGAGTTTTGTGGTTTGCATGTCATCCATGTCATGCGATGGCATTCAGTCCGTCTGCCTTCATTGTGCTAATGCTGGGTCAGTGACACCCTTGACCTTGAGTCCTGTGTGGGTTTGCTCTTCCCATATGACTCTTCTTTGTGGCCCTCCTGGTGAGGATAGGGCTCATCGGGCAGTGACTTTTTGTGTTAGTTTTTCTAGGTTTCAGCAGTCTGGGTTGTGTGCCCGGTTGGATGCCCCCGTAGCACATTTGTGTTCTTTACAATATGTATACAGTAGAACGTTCATAATGTTCCAAGGAACTGTGATACATGTGTCACTAATGTGTCCACAACAAATGTTTTTTGGCACAGCGTTACCTGTTCGATATTCAATATATTTACAGTATGTACACTTTCACACACTATATGTCACACACTGTATTACATACTCAGTACTTCATAACTGTGTGATAATCAAAGAAGCAGTCCATGGTTCACAGCGTGACTTCGCACTCATTTCACCAGGTATAGAAAGATTTTTGCTTCCTGTTTCTTCGTTTTGTGCTTGCAAATAACGCACTCATATACATCCTTGGCATTAGTACCTGTAGGTGGTATGTAGCCAAGCTTGTGAAGTGTAAATTAGTCTTGAAAAGATTATAGGAAAAGATCAATTTGTAATGTAGTCTTAAAAGTATCGCATTGTAAGGTAAGATTGGAAAGATTTATGTATTCTTGAAAATATCTAGGAAAAGCTCAATGACCAAATTCTGTGCTGGTATCTCGTATCTCTCCTGGTATCACTCATATCTTCACCTGTATATGGGAAAGTGGGTGCAACACCAACATCAGAATCATCAAATTGTGGTTTGAGTGGTACAAAATTATCACAGTCCTCCCTCACGAATTCACCCGTGCTTCTTGTACTGCCACCACCACCACTGGCAATAAACATCACCATGGAAGATGCTAACACTGTTCATCTATGTTACTTGTATCAGACTCATCATCACTGAACCCAGAAAACGATTCATCTATAGTATCTATGAAAATTGGAGATGACAAGGGCTCGGCTTCTGCTGGATACACTCGCAGTATCATCCTCATCGATGCTGTATCACTTGTATCTGACCTTGTGGTAGGTCCTTATTGTGCCTAGCTTCATCAATATCATGACCCTTATGTTCTTCAAACAAAGAGGTCTGAATTTCACCACCAGAGAGTGATGTTAAGAGAGTGAACACCGCATCCAACAGGAAATTGGGAGCCATGGTTGCTCACTCAGAACTGAGCCAGCCAGCAGTCCTAGGGCATTCTGGGAATTTATTCCAAGATGGCTGCCTCTCACTGGAGGGGCCCAGGAGTCCATTTCATACCCACCCTACCTTGTGTTTTGAATGGTGCAAAATCTTAAATTAATGTTTTCCCGGGCTGCGCTTTGCCTGCCACGAGTCTTGTCGGCTGGCACAGTCCAGTGGTTAAGTAATAGATTTAATATTTGTGGGGTAAGTGAGTTCTAGAGTTGAAGAGTGAAGGAGTACATGCACATTGTGGGATAGTAGTGTACTGAAATATTTGTCACTTATGTTTTAGGTGCAGGTGAGGTGTGTGACACTGGCTTTGATGTTGATGAGATCAATTCCTGTGAATCTAATGGAGACCGCAGAGGCAGTAAGGATATTTGTTGCACGTCTTCAAAGCCATTGGAAACTGTATCAGACTCACGCAACAGACTGTTTGACAGATTTCAGTCAGTAGAGGCCTTCAACCTGAAATCTCTCCCTAATGAGATGGTTGCTGCACTACGATTTTTTGAACATCAAAAGAAGGATAAGCCAGCTTTAAACTGGGGAGAGGTTTGTTTAAATTTGTAAAGTTTTTAACAGTTTTCTATCAATGCTTTTTCTTGTAAATAGGATTTTCTCTATCATTAACTTGAAATACTTGGATTGATATTTTTTATTTGCCTAATAAGCCAAGTTTTCATGAATTAATGTTTTTTCGATTACCTAACCTACCTAACCTAACCTAACCTAACTTTTTCGGCCACCTAACCTAACCTAACCTATAAAGATAGGTTAGGTTAGGTTAGGTAGGCCTGGTTAGGTTCGGTCATATATCTACGTTATTTTTAACTCCAATAAAATAAAATTGACCTCATACATAATGAAATGGGTAGCTATATCATTTCATAAGAAAAAAATTAGAGAAAATATATTAATTCAGGAAAACTTGGCTTATTAGGCAAATCGGGCCTTGCATAGTAGGCTGAGAAGTGCGTTCTGGCTACTAGGTACGACATATATATATATATATATGATATATATATATATATATATATATATATATATATATATATATATATATATATATATATATATATATATATATATATATATATATTTTAAATATCTAGAAGGGGTACCACCTCTGGTGCAAGGGTAGGGACCCATAGCCTCGGAGAAGAAAATAAAGAGTACTCAGAGAAGACCTTGTGGATCCTCACTGAACACTTTGATATTTTCTTCTCCTACCACCCCTATTCTTTTGGTATGTGTGTATATTTATCTAACTTTATTTGAAAATGTCATTACACACAAAAAAGTTACAATATTGATTACATGCAGGGTACAAGGCTGCTTGTCACAAGTTGTACAGCTCTTCCAGCTCCTCAGATGGCAGGCAGGAACCATGGATGCAGTGAACATTTCCTCTCTGGATTGCCACACTAAGGTGCTGAAAAAGAAAACTGGCAGAGGGCCAGGTTTTGGCTCGTGGTCCCTGGTAGGCCTAGAACTCCATTTACACTGACTGATGCCAAAGTCTAATAATATGCATATCAGCCTGGATAACTCTGGGGTGCCTCCGTGTCTCACCCAGAAGATGGCATTTCATTACATTCAACGCTGGTTTTTGTTTACGTGCATCGTGGAGTTCTCATATTAAACAGTTGTGCAGGGCAGATCAATATCCCCAATGAAAAGCAGAGGGGCAATAGGTACACTGAGGAAGAACTCTATCAACATCAAGGGACCATGACTTTCCAACACTCCCGCTACACATAAGGGGCATAACTGGCCGACCTCTCACAGTGTTCTAGAGAGAACTCGACAAACACCTCCAAAGAATACCAGATCAACCAGTACTGTGATTCATACGTCAGGCTGTGAGCAGCCATGTCCAACAGTATGGTTGACCCTACGATCGACTCGGAGACTTGGTCGGAGACTGGGCTGCGGGGCCATCGATTCCTGTAAGATAGGTAGACAGAAGGTAGGTAGGTAGGTAGGGCATAGGTAAATGACTTGCCACCTTGGACTCGTTTGAAAGAGCTTCAGTATATTTAACCCTAGATTTTTTTCTTGGATTTAAGACAGATCTCTTGATCCCTAAGCTTCTTTTGGCTTCAGAGAGAAAACTTGGTTTGGTAATGGCACCAGGTGATCAAGGGAGGTGTTTGGGAGGCCTGGTGCATCTCCCTAATGAGGCTGAACTAGAGCTTATCTTGGGGAGCCATCGAGGACCCTTTCAGTAAAGTGTATTTCATTATAATCAATGCTTGATTGTTGATACCTAAGAAATTCCAATAATATGTATATTATAATTCACTATTTGCTTGACAGGTTGATATGATAAAACTTGGGCAATATATTATTTCCTTGTGCTCGGCTACCAAAGAGTTGTTTGAGAATGAGTCACGTCTTTTAAGATTGGCCACACCCTGCTACATCCTAGGTAAGAATAATATTTCAGTCTCAGTCATTCCAGATTACAATACTGTATTATGCTTTTCACTTAAATATTGAATTCCCGACTAGATGGTAATAATAATAATTCATAACTAACATTACACGATATATGGGCAAAGTTGTCGATATAAATATTTTCTGGGGAAGTCCCTTGTGGCTCCCTGAAGCTATCTTGCTGAAATTGCTTCTATCTGCTAGGTCCCATCAATCACAAAGTTGTGTTTTGCCTATAGAGACTAGAACCTGGCCTGCTCCTAACGGTGCTAAGAGCAATTAACATTCCACCACCCCCACCCACCAGGAAAACGTCTAGAAATTCAACAAAGCATTGCAGACCTACTGCAGACCCATACTATTGCAAGCACTAAACTCTGTAGTACTCTGCTAGTAGCACTCCTCCAGTCAGATACATTGCCTCGAATTAAAGCCCTCATCTTCCTATCAGAATATTTTTCATCCATTTCAACAGTCTCCCTGTCACCCCACCAGCATGTTCCAGTTTCCAAAACAATCTCGTGTGTGGGGCTCTGTCAGAAGCTATTTTTAAATCCAGTTTTACAGAGTCAACTCAACTATCTCTTTCCTGTCGAATCTGTGTATATCACTGAAGTCGCTAGAGAGGTTACACGTGACGATGTTTGTCACGGATGTCACTGACATTGTCACAGACAGTGATGTGTGACACTAATGTCGCTGTTATTGTCACAGATGGAGATGTTTGTCACTGATGTCGCTAATAACATTATGGACAGTGATGTTTATCATTGACATCATTGACAACATCACAGACGGCGATGTTTACTGCTGCTGTTATGCTGTGACGAGAATAATGGAGTGGCTCTGCTACAGGCTGCTGTGTTATCTGTGAAGATGCCGTATTCAAGATAATAAACAGCAGTGACTGAAACAGATTCGCTACTTGAGAAAATGGTCACAGAAAATGTCTATAAGATTTTACCACATGTAGCTAGGTAATCACGCTTCATCCTTTAAATTACTGTACAAAGATACGTGTGACACAAATCAGTGAACGAAAATCATGGAAACTCAGTTGTTCACTTGTGTGGATCACTGGCTGGTGTTTGTGTGGATCACTCTGGCTGGTGTTTGGTTCATATGGTTCACTTGTTGTGTGGTCCACTTGTGTGATCCAACTTGTCTTATGAAGGAATTATTAATTGTAATCTGTGATAGAATGGGAAAGTTTTCCACCAGTCTGTGAACTCTGTCTGGACATTGTAAGCAAATCCGAACATCCCCCGCTTCGGCCAACCACTGTTCGTCGAACCGGGTGAGTAAATCCGGCCTGAAAAGTGTGCGAACTAGCCGGAGATTTGTTGAATCGGGGTACGTTGAATCGAGGTTGTACTGTATAGCGTATATGAGTCCGATAGCTCCAGGGAGCCTCCGGGCCTCACCCAGAAAATGGCATTTCATTACATTCAATGCTTTTTCTTTTTAGGGGTGCTGGCTTGTATTCTAATGAATTTTTCTTGGTTCTGTGTTGATCTTATTTCCAAGCTTTCTTTAGCCTCTTTGAGGAGGCCAGATTTTGGTCATGGCTCATGGTGGGCACTCTTGGATCTTAAAGCATGGTATGCTTTCCAAGATTTAGAATAGTCAGGTTGCAGCATTGGGGAGTTACTGATGAACTCACTAGGAAAAGTGTGTTTTATTACATTTAGTGCTGCAGTATTGTTACTTTTGATAGCCTTTGGCAAACCAGACTTGTGCAGATATATATGATCTTTAATGTAGGATATGTAGATAATATAACTGGTTATAATATATTTCTCAATGGCATTTGTATTACAGGTGATCTTCATGGAAATTACCAAGACTTAATTTGTTTTGAAAAAGCTCTCTGGAGAGTGGGTCCCCATCTTACGCCAGCAAACTTCCTGTTTCTGGGGGATTATGTTGACAGGGGTGATTATGGCATTGAGGTAAGCATGTATTGCTTATTTTCCATATCTGTCATGAAAATTTAATCATGCTTATATAATTCCTCTTGTTGGGGACAGGAAGCTTGTACTTAGGTTTATGGAGATGCTCCTAGGTCAACTACTGACCTTCTCCAGGATGCAACCCATAATGGTTGCCTAACTCCTGGGTACTTATTTATTGTTAGGTGAAAAGGAGCATCAGGTGGAGGGCTGTTTGGGGGAGGTGAGGAAGACCAGCAGAGGCTAGTTAGTCTCACACTCCCTCCCTCCCTCCCTGTTTATAGTAGCTCTTGGCATTACAAAATCTTATATATATTCAGTTGAGCAGTCACACTTATCATGTAATTAATAAGTTAGTTAAAAAATCATTTTAGCAGTAAGTGAATCAGCCAGTTAACCACTGTGCTGCGCCGAGTTTATTGTGAAATTTCCCCCGGTGCGCATGAAATAAAGTGTTCCCCAAAAATTCCTTTTTCTTTGTAAAATGATAAATTCCCTTTCCTGAAAATGTCTGTGTAAAAATAAATACCAAATTCCACTTACTTTGGCTGTGGGGACGTGGACAAGGTGCGCTGTGACGTCATCAGGGCCGGCCTCTTTTCCTGTGCTCTGCCAGGTCAACTGGCTGTGGGTTCGCTTGGGTGTGGTCGGAACGATAACATCCCTCAGGTGGGTTCCACCTGTTTTCAGTTCCGAAACAGGACTGTGCGGATCTGTGATTCATACTGGACTTGTCTAATCTGAATCCCTGGGTCCTTTGCCCCTCCTTTCAGATGACCACTCTGTCTCAGGTCCGGCTGCTTTTGGCACCGGGTGCCTGGATGGTGTCTTGGGTCCTCCCGGACACGTTTTGCTTTTATAATTTTATTGTACGCGTCCTGATTCATCCGAGGTTCAGTGACTGGCTCGGTTTTGTCGTGGAGCGACAAACTTACTGCTTTCGTTCCCTTCCATTCGGCTTGAATCTGGTACCTCGAGTGTTCACATGCCTTACCAGGTTGTGTTCACCTGGGGGTCAGGTCACCCCCAGGTGACCTGACCTGGTGACGTTTGCTTCTGTTAGGGGTTCAGGCTCTGGCTTACCTCGACAACTGGCTGGTGTGGGCTCCCAGCCAGTTCGCATGTCTGCTCGCCAAGGATATGGTTCTTTCCTAGCTCGCCAGGTTCGGGTTCATGGTGAACTGGAGGAAGTCCCTTTTGGTTCACTCTCAGGTTCGGACTTGGCTGGGTTTGGTGTGGGACTCTCGGACCGCTTCCTTGTCTCTCCCTCCTGCGACGCTGTAGCAGCTGCAGTCCCACCTCCGGCTGTTTTTGGAGGGCACCCGGGTCACACGTCGGTTGTTTGAGCGGTTGTGCGGGAGCCTGAACTTCGCCATGTTGGTCTACCCATCGGGTCGGATCTGGCTTCGGCGGATGTTTTGATTTCCTCTGGGGGTCGGGTCGGGGAGCTTCCTGCTCTCCTCTGCCGCAGGGGCTTTCTGTTCTTTTGGTCCTGGTAGTAGGTTTGTACGTTTGCAGCCTTCTCCATCTATTCTGGCGAAGTCCAAGACGGCTGCTTTCCGAAGGGGTCCTTGAGTTATTGGTGCTTGGTTGGTTCGACCGGGGGTGCATCATGTGTTATGTCCAGTTGCGACTCTTTGCTGTTCCCTGCTCACCTCAGCTGTGATGGCTGGGGTTGCTCCGGTTTCCCTCGTTCCCTGTTCCAGAGCTTGGGTCTCCCAGGTAGTCTGCAAGGTTATAGCCAGTCTAGCCAGCCTGCGGTCTATCCTTGCGCCCGTGACGTTCGGACATTTACAGCTTTGGCTGCCGTGTTTGGTAACATGTCTTGGACTCATGCTCGGGCGCGGGCATTTTGGGGGTCGCACAGGATACTAGCTGCCTGTTATTGGTGAGAGTATGCTCCTGGATGTTCTTATGTTACTTTCGGTTGCAGATTGCAGCCTGTTGTCTCGACTTCGCATTGAGGAGTTTGCGGCGGCCGCCTCCCGGGTCAGTCCCTATTTTCTTTCTCTTTGGGGGATGAAGCTCCAGGAAACCGTAGGGGCTCCCCCCTCAGAAAACCAGTGTTGAATGTAATGAAACACAATTTTCTGGGTTAGCCCTGGAGGCTCCCTGGTAACCTTCCCTCCCACTGGTCGGCGTGTTTTTCGCATTGGTTGAAGCTTAGCTTCTGAACTGAACTGAAGTGCAGTGCAGCTGGCGCGGTGAGGTCCAGGGCCCCCCCACCCTCCACCTCTCGAGGAGTGGAGGGCTGCACGGACAAGTGGCGCAGAAGTAGTGTACAGTGGTACCTCGGAATGCGATTGTCCCTGTATGCGAGGTTTTCGGAAGGCGAGGTGTATTTACTCCAAAAATTTGTCTCGGAAGGCGATGGTTACTTCGGGAGGCGAGTTTGGACGCGAGTTTGTTGATACGCGTACAGCCGACCTAGCGCGTGGTGGTTCGGCGATCGTCGCCCCTCCGCCCCTCAGTTTATTATTGTCTCGCGCTCAGTGACTACCCCCACATCAATTCTTCTCGCGGATTTTCAGTGTTTTGTTGGATTTTTGGTGATTTGTCTATACAATTTGTTATTATATATCTCACCATGGGTCCCAAGAAAGCCAGTGGTAAGGATAAAGGCCAGAAAGCTCATGTGAGGATGACAATAGAGGAGAAACAAGAGATCATTCGGAAGCATGAGAATGGTACACGTGTTGTTGAACTTTGTAGGCAGTACAACAAAGCCACATCAACAATATGCACTATACTTAAGAAGAAAAAATAAGATTATGGGTGCTAAAGTGGCAAAAGGAGTAAGAACATTAACGGCACAAAGACCACAAATACTTGAAGAAGTGGAAAAGTTGTTATTAATTTGGATACACGACAAGGAGTTGAGGGGTGATAGTGTTTCGGAGGCCATTATTTGTGAGAAAGCCAGGGTGTTGCACGAAGACCTTCTAAAGAATACCCCTGCAACGAGTGATGCAGATAAGAAAGAGTTTAAGGCAAGCAGGGGCTGGTTTGAAAAATTTAGAAAGAGAAGTGGTATCCATAGTGTTACAAGGCATGGGGTTATGTGATGTGATTATGGAAGGGGACTCCCCTTCCAAACAGTAACTCCTCTCCTCCTCCCCCCTCCTCACCATCTTCCATACGCTACAGCACTCGACAGCAAGGTAAGTAATAACTGGAACACAGTTTTGTAGGTTTATTTAGATGAATTAGGTATAAAAATTTAGTTTGATGTGGGGTTTTTGGGGTAGTCAGGAACGGATTAATTCATTTCCCTTTATTTCTTATGGGGAAATTAACTTCGGAATGCGAGTTTTCGGAAGGCGAGGCGTCTCCAGGAACGGATTAAACTCTTATTCTGAGGTATGCCTGTATTTTGCTTGTTTCCTTGGGATTGAAGGGAGTTCTACCTCTCTGTTCATTTTTTGTTGTTAGTTTCTTACCATGTGGGGTTTGTTTTGTCATGCCTACCTTTCTGGGTGCCTGACCCCGGTCAATGGCAGACAGGGAAAACCCCAACCACAAAGGGGTTTTCCAGGACCATTGCTCCCTGAAACCTCTCTGAAGGGGCCAGGTTCTGGCGCTGGTCCCTGGTAGGTCTGAACTCCGTAGTTAATGTCTCGGTCTAATACACCATACATTAGCCCAATAAGCTCCAGGGAGCCTCTGGGGCTCACCCAGAAAATGGTGTTTCATTACATTCAGCGCTGTTTTTTTTTTTTCTTGCAGGTGGTTGCTTACTTATTTTCCCAGAAGCTTCAGGCTCCAAATAAGTATTTTCTCCTGCGAGGCAACCATGAAGTTAGAGACCTCCAGAAAATGTTTACATTTCAACAGTAAGTTTTTGTTTAACATCATTCAGTTTGTAGTAACATCAGCAATGTACTTTTCTGGGGGGAGGCCCATCAGCTCCCTGAAGGTATATCAGGGAGCTCCCATCAGCTCCTTGTTTTCTTTTTCATTGATTCAGTGCCATACTACTAGGTGCCATCAGTCGTGGAGTTCTATTGGCCTACCCTGGACCACAAGCCAGAACCTGGCCTGCTCAGAGAGGCCCAGGGAGCGATGGCCTATGAACACTTTACAATTCAAATTATTCATAAGTGCCACTACCAGGGAAGACACCCAGAAAAATTGGCAAAGCAAACAGACTACTGCATGGTTAAATTAAGATTGCAGCCACAAAATTTCCAAAGAACTCCCCCCCCCCAACAATGAAAACAAACCACCAAAATTTTGTGTAACTAGTGTAATTACCTAAGTGTAGTTACAGGATGAGAGCTACTCTCGTGGTGTCCCGTCTACCCCAATTCTCTTTATCATATAACGCTTTCAAATTACTGACGGTCTTGTCAGCCACCACCTAACTTGTTCCAACCGTCTACCACTCTGTTTACAAAAGTGAATTTTCTTATATTTCTCCCGCAGCTTTGTTTCGTTAGTTTAAATCTATGACCTCTTGTTCTTGAAGTTCCGGGTCTCAGGAATTCTTCCCTATCAATTTTATCGATTCCTGTTACAATTTTGAACGTAGTGATCATATCGCCTCTTTTTCTTCTATCTTCTAGTTTTTGCATATTTAATGCATCTAACCTCTCCTCGTAGCTATTATCCTTCAGTTCTGGGAGCCACTTAGTGGCATGTCTTTGCACCTTTTCCAGTTTGTTGATGTGCTTCTTAAGATATGGGCACCACACAACCGCTGCATATTCCAGCTTTGGTCTAACAAAAGTCGTGAACAATTTCTTTAGTATATCGCCATCCATGTATTTAAATACAATTCTGAAGTTAGAAAGCATAGCATAGGCTCCTTGCACAATATTCTTTATGTGGTCCTCAGGTGATAGTTTTCTATCTAGAACCACCCCTAGATCTCTTTCTTTATCAGAATTTTTTAAAGATTTCTCACATAATATATAGGTTGTGTGGGGTCTATGTTCTCTTATTCCACATTCCATAACATGACATTTATTAACATTAAATTCCATTTGCCAAGTGTTGCTCCATATACTTATTTTATCCAGGTCTTCTTGAAGGGCATGCCAATCATCTAGGTTTCTTATCTTCCCTATTATCTTAGCATCATCAGCAAACATGTTCATATAATTCTGTATTCCCACTGGTAGATCATTTATGTAGACAATAAACATCACTGGTGCAAGAACTGAACCCTGTGGTACTCCACTTGTGACATTTCTCCAGTCTGATACATTGCCTCTGATCACTGCCCTCATTTTTCTATCAGTCAGAAAATTTTTCATCCATGTTAGAAGCTTACCTGTCACCCCTCCAATATTTTCTAGTTTCCAGAACAACCTCTTATGTGGAACTCTGTCGAAAGCCTTTTTTAGGTCCAGATAGATGCAGTCAACCCAACCATCTCTTTCCTGTAATATCTCTGTGGCTCGATCATAGAAACTGAGTAAATTCAATATACAGGATCTTCCAGATCGAAAACCATACTGTCTGTCTGATATTATATCATTTCTCTCCAGGTGTTCTACCCATTTAGTTTTGATTAGTTTTTCCAATACTTTCACTATTACACTTGTCAATGATACAGGTCTATAATTGAGGGGGTCTTCCCTGCTGCCACTTTTGTAGCAGGGAAGACCCCCTCAGTTATAGAACTATGGAACAATTATGGAACTATGTTAGCCTGTTTCCACACGTTTGCTATGATTCCTGTACACAGGGATGCCTGAAAGATCAGGTGAAGTGGAATGCTGAGCTCAGATGCACATTCTCTCAGAACCCATGGTGAAACGCCATCTGGGCCAGCTGTTTTGTTCTTACTGAGCTCCTTTAGCATATTTTCCACTTCATCTTTAGACACCTCTATCCGCTCTATGTTGTTTTCTGGAATTCTTATTGTGTGTGTGTGTGTGTGTGTAATTACCTAAGTGTAATTACCTAAGTGTAGTTACAGGATGAGAGCTACGCTCAAGCTATGAGAGCTATGAGAGCTACACACACACACATACGTGTGTGTGTGTGTGTGTGTGTGTGTGTGTGTGTGTGTGTGTGTGTGTGGTGTGTATCTATATATATATAATATATATATATATATATATAATATGTCGTACCTAGTAGCCAGAACGCACTTCTCAGCCTACTATGCAAGGCCCGATTTGCCTAATAAGCCAAGTTTTCCTGAATTATAATATTTTCTCTAAATTTTTTTCTTATGAAATGATAAAGCTACCCATTTCATTATGTATGAGGTCAATTTTGTTTTATTGGAGTTAAAATTAACGTAGATATATGACGGAACCTAACCTATCTTTATAGGTTAGGCTAGGTTAGGTAGCCGAAAAAGTTAGGTTAGGTTAGGTAGGTTAGGTAGTCGAAAAACAATTAATTCATGAAAACTTGCTTATTATTCAAATCGGGCCTTGCATAGTAGGCTGAGAAGTGCGTTCTGGCTACTAGGTACGACATACATATATATATATATATATATATATATATGTCGTACCTAGTAGCCAGAACGCACTTCTCAGCCTACTATGCAAGGCCGATTTGCCTAATAAGCCAAGTTTTCATGAAATAATTGTTTTTCGACTACCTAACCTACCTAACCTAACCTAACCTAACTTTTTCGACTACCTAACCTAACCTAACCTATAAAGATAGGTTAGGTTAGGTTAGGTAGGGTTGGTTAGGTTCGGTCATATATCTACGTTAATTTTAACTCCAATAAAAAAAAATTGACCTCATAGATAATGAAATGGGTAGCTTTATCATTTCATAAGAAAAAAATTTGAAGAAATATATTAATTCAGGAAAACTTGGCTTATTAGGCAAATCGGGCCTTGCATAATAGGCTGAGAAGTGCGTTCTGGCTACTAGGTACGACATATATATATATATATATATATATATATATATATGTCGTACCTAGTAGCCAGAACGCACTTCTCAGCCTATTATGCAAGGCCGATTTGCCTAATAATATTTCCTGAATTATATATATATATAATATATATCTTATGAAATATATAAGCTACCATATATTATATATATGAGGTCAATTTTTTTTTATTGAGTTAAAATTAACGTAGATATAAAACTTGGATATAGGCAAATCGGGCCTTGCATAGTAGGCTAGAGTGCGTTCTGGCTATATACGACATATATATATATATATATATATATAATATGTATGTCGTACCTAGTAGCCAGAACGCACTTCTCAGCCTACTATGCAAAGCCCGATTTGCCTAATAAGACAAGTTTTCATGAATTAATGTTTTTTCGTCTACCTAACCTACCTAACCTAACCTAACCTAGCTTTTTTTGGCTACCTAACCTAACCTTACCTATAAAGATAGGTTAGGTTAGGTTAGGTAGGGTTGGTTAGGTTCGGTCATATATCTACGTTAATTTTAACTCCAATAAAAAAAAATTGACCTCATACATAGTTAAAAGGGCAGCTTTATCATTTCATAAGAAAAAAATTATAGAAAATATATTAATTCATGAAAACTTGTCTTATTAGGCAAATCGGGCCTTGCATAGTAGGCTGAGAAGTGAGTTCTGGCTACTAGGTACGACATATATATATATATATATATTATATATATATATATATATATATATATATATATATATATATATATATATATATATATATATATCTATATATATATATTTATTTATTTATTATTTATTTATTTATTTCTAGTCTGACACCTGGAGTCAGAATTCATCACTCACTAAAAGTTGCACAAGTTGGAGCAGTAGTATGAAAAAAGTGAATCAAACACTGAGAATAATCAAGCGTACCTTTACCTTCAAGGAAAAGAAAGTAGTCGTTCAATTGTATAAGACTTTGGTGCACCCCACCTGGATTATTGCATCCTGGCATTAAGACTACATCTGGGTCATTCCATCTCAAATCACCAAAAAGTCACCTATGGCTCCCACTCGACCCTCTCCAAATGCCATGAAATTTTGTAGTAAGATATCCCTAGACCCCAAATGACACCTTGCAAAATATTAGAGCTCGATCTGCTTTGGTTCTTAAATAACAGGTCAATATTCAATAGGTTCTCGTCCCATTAATGCGCAAGTACCACAAAAATGACCAACTTTGAGCCTTTGTTAAATCACTTGTATTGCCTGTAGGAGTGTGAAAGTTGACATACCAGGACAACTTTTGGTGTAGAATAACATAGTGTAATTGAAAAAGCAGTATGGGTGGCCATTCAGCTATCCATCCATGCTAAAATCACTGCCAAATTTTGTCACAGGAAATTTACACCCCAATTTGGAGACCACTTACTCATCAGCAAAAGGTCTAAATGCCATGATCTTTTGCAACGATGTATAACAAGCACAGTATTATGCAGTGATACAATAGCAACTCTGTTGTATCCATATGTCCAGAGGTGGCCCACTTGAAAGCTGACCAAAAAAGTGTCATTTGCAAAACTAGCCAACTTTCAAGGCAAAATATCTCAATATGCGTCATTCCCAATTTGGTTTTGATTGACACCATTGGATAGAGCAGATTTTTATGTACAAGAGTGACTTTTATTTAGGTTGGGATCTGAATTCCTAGTTCAGCCAGAGGACTCTGAAAATGACATACCTTGGTGTGATATCTTTGCAGCTTTCGCTGCTGTGTTGGTGACGTCTAGGGCTCATTTCTGACGCGAGGATTTTGGGGTCGCACAGGTTCCTGGCCGCCTGTTCTTTGTGCGCGTGTCTGCTCCTGTGTGTTCTTAGTTGCCTTGGGTCGCAGGTTACAGTCTGTTGTCTCGGCTTCGCGTTACGGAGCTTGTCTCAGCTTCGCAATGCGGAGTTTGTGGCGGCCACCTCCCAGGTCAGCCCTTTCTTTTCCTTCTCTTTGGGTATGAAGCTCCAGGGAGCCATAGGGGCTCCCCACAGAAAACCAGCGTTGAATGTAATGAAACACCATTTTCATGGTGAGCCCCGGAGGCTCCCTGGCAACCCTCCCTACCACCGGTCGGCAGTTTTTTTTGCATTGGTTGAAGTTTAGCTTCCAAACTGATGCTAGGCAGCAGGCGCGGTGAAGTCCGGGGCCCCCCCTCCCTCTCTCGGGGCGGGGAGGGCTGTGTGGACAATCGGCACGGCAGTAAAGTGTGATGTTTGTTTGTTTCCTTGGTATTGTAGTGAGTTTCTACCACTCTGTTCAGTTTTGTGTTTTAGTTTTTTTCCATGTGGGGTTTGTTTTGTTATGCCTACCTTTCTGGGTGCCTAACCCCGGTCGATGGCAGATAAAAACCCCTACCACAAGGGGAGATTTTTCCAGGGGCCATTGCTCCCTGAAACCTCTCTGAAGGGGCCAGGTTCTGGTGCCGGTCCCTGGTAGGTCTGAACTCCTTAGCTAATGTCCCGGTCTAATATAACATACATTAGCCCGATAAGTTCTAGGGAGCCTCCGGGGATCACCCAAAAATTGGCGTTTCATTACATTCAATGCTGGTTTTATGCGAACCTTGCACTTCCCGAACTTGAGTATCCGAATCAACTCCAATCGGGAAACTGTAAGTTTCGGACGCACAGTTTTTACAAAGAACGAGGCTGTCTGTAGTTGAGAACCATCTCGGCGAGATAGCCTCAGGGAACCACCAGGGCTCATCCAGAAAGAGTCATTTCATTACATGCAATGTTGGTTTTTATTATAAGTAAAATTATTTTAAGCATAATCATTACTCTATCATGTACTCTATTATTCTTTATGTCAAGAATGATGCAAAAATCATAAAACCTTTCTTTCTTTCTTCCAGAGAATGTTTAAAGAAGTTTGGTACCCTCCTTGGAAAAAGTGTTTGGGATGCCGTTAATGACGTTTTTGATTGTATGCCACTTGCTGCTATTGTTGATAAGAAGGTAGGATATTTTCTTTTCTTGGGGGAGCCCCTACGGCTCCCCGGAGCTTACTAGGCTGATATGCTAATGTCAGACTTTGGCATCAGTCATGTGTACGGAGTTCTTATGGCGGGCCTACCGGAGATCACGAGCCAGAACCTGGCCCCCTCAGAGAGGCAAGGGGAGCAATGGCCTATAGAAACCCCCATGTGATTGGAAGCATTCTGTCTGCCATTGACTGGGTTAGGCACCCAGAAAGGTAGGCGTCCCAAAGCAAACCCCTATTCTGGTGAAAATTACAACCAAAAGCCGAACAAGTGGATAGAACTCCCCAAACAAAAACGAGCAAACTAGTATGACGTCACTGTCGTCATGCCACTGTCTGCCCAGTTTCCCCCTTACCCAGGAGGGGGAAGGGGTAGCCCCAGACCCACCACGCTGGCAATCCACACCCCAGTTCTTAACGCTGATGCTATTGGCTCGGTTGTGTGCTCCTGCTCGGTTTTTCGGCCACCCTTTGGGTACTTTGGTGTTTTGTCTCCCTAGATTACCTTAGGGTAAGAGGCAGTTTTCACACTGGTAAGGGGCACAGAGTGCTGCACAGCTTGTTGTCAGCTATCACAGCGGCCGGCTCTGTTTCTTGGGGTACGTTGTCCTCTTACGGGGTTATGTTTTTCTTTTTGCCTTGGTGGGAGGGTTCAGCCCTAATTGCCACTGGTTACCATAAGTACTACCAAAACAGGAGGATGGGCTGAGTTTAAGAGACAACTGGAGGCTTCACAAAAATGAAGCTTCGAGACTGCCAAATAACTCCGTAAACGATTCACACGGAACAAGGGATATTGCAAATTAGTTCGAAAATCATTAGTATCAATTGCCATCACAAAGAACCCGGCCCCTGCCTAGCAGACTCCCCTACTCCCAAGAGCTTGGTTACTAGTCAAGTCATAATACAAGAACAGGGATATATATAAATACAGAGTATTCTGCTGGTCAAACTGTGACCGGTGGTAAAGTAAAATTATGATTATTATATGGACCTCTGTGAATCTAGAGTTTTGCTTGTGTCCATAGTGACTTTGACTAGATATTTGTCAATGGTCAAATTGACTTAAAAGTTGTTGATGCTCTGAGAGACTTAATATGTGTAATAGTCTAAAGTGTATCTAGCTGTGGTCAAGTGCACAGTTGTTATTCTTAGTTCTTTTAACCTGTAAATATTGTAAATACTAGTTATAGTTTATGTATGTATATGACAACCTTTGCTCCTGGCATGTAAACCAATAAAGTTTTCCCCTTACTCTAGACAAACTAGCTGAAGCTAGTTTGAAGTGAAGCTGAAGCTGAAGTGTAGTTCCTACTGTAACTAAATAAGAGAGGAACATAGGTTTATTAGCCTTGCTTGTCGTAACTGTGGGGAATTGTCACTTGCTCCCTGAGGTGCACTTGCACTTGCGTCTCTGTGAGGTGGGCAACATTCTGTAGGCCAAAGAGAACTTCCAAAACTGATGAGACCTGATAAACCAAAAGTAACAAAACTGATAAAGTAACAATGTATGGAGCAATCTGGGAAAGATAGCTTCGGGGAGCCACTGGGGGTGGCTCCCACAGAATAGAATTTTAGTATGAATGAAGTCAAATTTAATTTATACCAGTACAATTTAAACAATCCAAATATATTCTTCCTTAATCCACAGATTACTCAGTCAATCTTCAAAATGCATTCAATGATTTACACTATAATTCTGATACGTCTTCTCTCGCTATGATCTCTCTCATTATTGTTATAAGACTTTCTTGTTTACTATCTAGCTCCTCCTTTGACCATGTGCTGCTTGGCGGTGGACTATATGCATATATGATCATTAGTTTATCATCCTTATGGCAGATCACTGTTGATACAAGAATGTCTCCAGAATGAGGTTCACAAATCTGCATGTCCAAAAGTCCTCTGTTCTTGCTTCATAGGCCTCCCAGTCTATTGCTTTAAAGTTGAAGTACCTCTGTATCACCAGTCGTGATTTATCTTTATCTGCTTGTACAATAATATCTCTCATGACCATTATGAGGCCCTCTCGTTTGTCATCCAGTTCTTCCTTTGTCCATGTGTTGCTTGCTGGTGGGCTGTAGGCATTTAAAATTATCAGCTTATCATCCTGATTCCAGACCTGCAATGCCATTATGTCAATATCTCGAGGGTTTTCAAGTATTAACTCTCTTACCTTCAGGTGTTTTTTCAGCAGCACAGCCACTCCTCCTCCCTTCCTAGATTTCCTGTCACGTCTCCAAACTGAATAGCCTCTTGGAAATACAACTTCATTTAATATATTTCTTTCAAGTTTCGACTGATAATGCAACAATATCTGAGACCTTAAGCTAAATTATATCTTGCAATGCCAAAGTTTTTGACCTCACTCCGTCTATGTTGGTATATACAACTTTCAGGAACATGATCCCTTTCCCTTTGCTCCTTACTCCCCCTTCTACTACTGATTTTGTTGCCTTGTTTTTATGTACCATTTCACAAGCTTTCCAGTCCCTGACACTTTGTAGAAAAAAGAATTTCTGTCTTCTTCCTTTCTATCCCCATTTAGACGTTTTGCTTCGATGAGGTTCATTTTCAGCTTTTGTCTGTCTTCCTTTGAGAGGTCTTGTCTTATTGACCAAAGTTTACCAACCTCATCACTCTGCAATTTCCTGCCATTTCCATCATGTTTTTCACTCCATTAAACGTCATCCTTAAGGGGTGGTTCTTGTCTTTCTCATATTTTCCTATTCTTCTAAAATCACTGATATTTTCCTTTGAGCCTTCTCCTAAACCTACTCTTTTCTCTATGATTTTGATCTCTTCTTTTGCTCGGTCCACCCTAGATGAAATTTCCTTCTCTAAACATCCAAAAATTATTATGGACTTACTTCTATCTTACTTCTGTCTGCAGTGTTTTGTTCTAGTTTACTGTTGGTAACCAGTTCTTCCTAATTGCTTGCCTAAGATCCGCTTCTTGTTTGTCATTTCTGGTTTTGACTTTCAAACACACTGTCTTAATCGTCTCTCTCTTTTACAAGTTGCATGTATGTCTCTTTTTATTTCTTCTTTATACTTTTCTAGTTATTTATTAACCTCCTCTGTTTGAGTTGCCAATGATGTTTCTCGTTGCATCTCCTTGCCTAACTCCATGTTAGCCCTCAGGCTCCCCTCGAGTTGTTCACCATATGAGTCTATTTTCTTGTTAATTTCTTCAAATTCCCTACTCTTGCGTGCCTGGCCGCACGTTCTTTTGTGAGCGTGTCTGCTCCTGTGCATTTTTGTGTTGCTTTGGGTCACAGGTCTCCTGTGACTCCTGCTTTGGGTCAACAGGAAGCGTGTTGTCTCGGCTTCGCATTGCGGAGTTTGTGGTGGCCGCCTCCTGGGTCAGCCCTTTCTTTTCCTTCTCTTTGGGTATGATGCTCCTGGGAACCGTAGGGGCTCCCCACAGAAAACCAGCGTTGAATGTTATGAAACTCCGTTTTCTGGGTGAGCGCCAGAGGCTCCCTGGCAACCCTCCCTCCCACCAGTCTGCGTTTTTTTCACGTTGGTTTAGGCTTAACTTCTGAAAGGATGCTAGGCAGCCGGCACGGTGAGGTTTGGGCCCCCCCCTTTCCCCTCTCGGGGCGGGGAGGGCTGTGCGGACGAGCGGCACAGCAGTAAAGTGTGATGTTTGCTTGTTTCCTTGGGATTGTAGGGAGTTTCTACCTCTCTCTTTGGTTTTTTAGTTTCTTACCATGTGGGGTTTGTTTTGTTATGCCTACCTTTCTGGGTGCCTAACCCCGATCGATGGCAGATAAGGAAAATCCCCAACCACAATCGGGTTTTCCAGGGTCATTACTCCCTGAAACCTCTCTGAAGGGGCCAGGTTCTGACACTCGTCCCTGGTAGGTCTGAACTCCATGGCTAATGTTCCATTCTAATATAACATACATTAGCCCGATAAGCTCCAGGCAGCCCATGGGGCTCACTCAGAAAATGGCATTTCATTACATTCAATGCTGGTTTTTTGTGTCTATTGAAAAACTTTGTTAACATCTGATTTGAGGTTTGCTGTGTACTCTAGATTGTCTATTTTCATGAAAATGTTGGTGTCATCAGCAAAGGATGATACAGTATTTACTATAGTTTGTATCCTTGTCTGTCTGATATGAGGATGAGGAAAAGTACTGGAGGTAGCATAGTACCATTGGGGGGGGGGGGGAACCTGATCTTTTTATGGTGGATGATCCAGATTTGACTTTGTTGACTATTACTCTCTGGGTTGTGTTCATTAGGAAGTTAAAGATCCATCTCTCTTCCTACTGCATGTACAGTGAGTCCTTGAGTGAAAACCGGAAACACACAAAGGGAGGAGCAGTTGAGGAATGAAGTTCAAACATTTCAGACAGAGGTAGCTTTCATATTGCATTAGTGTATTACATTTCTTTCTGACCACAAATCCAGATCATAAGTACAGTACCATAATATTTGTTTCATTTCTGCATTTGCGATTCCAGCTTCCATCTTAATTCTTTTAGTATTCTTGTTGTAATCCTCTTTTGCATTCATTTCCTTACAATCTGCTACTCTCTCTCATTATCATTACATTTAGTTACATCTTAATATGTTTTCAGATCTTCTGTATCCATGGTGGAATTCCGAAATTAGAAGGATGTTTGTCCGAGCTGGACAATATTCCGTGTCCTCTAAAAAATCCTGAATCTCAGAGCAGTTCAGCATGGCAAATGATGTGGAACGATCCTGTTGCGTAAGTTTGTCACAATTAATGTCTTTATTTATGGCTTAGATATATTTGACAAATATTTTAACTAAAGTAACTTGTTTCCAGTATATGTTTGGCCATGATAAGGCTTTTAAGTATGAGGTGATTTTTACATATAATTTTACTGATTTTGTTCTACAGTTATTAATACTGCATTTGAGGAAATTTATTAGCTATTTCTGAGCAAGTATGAAAGCCTAACCTGCCTGCAGGTAAAAGGAGCTGTGATCATTACCTGGTACATAGTAATAAGTGTAATGTGTGATGACTGGCACAATATAGCAAAACCTTGAACATTTTCTTCATTGGAAAATTAAGTACAGTGGTACCTTGAATAACGAATTTAATCCGTTCCGGCGCCATGTTCGTCATGTGAAACGGACGTCATACAAAACTAATGCCCGAAACGCTGCGCGTGCTAGTGGCTTTACAAGACTGTAATTACCATATTTGTATCCTCACATTCCTTATGTACACTCTTGTATATGCATAAATAAATAAATAAATAAATAAATAAATAAATAAATGTCCCTATTTAATCACTGTGATGCACTGTTTATTGTGAAATTTCCCCAGTGTGCATGACATCAAGTGTTCCCCCAAAATAATTTTTTTGTAAAATGATAAATTACCTTCCCTGAACATCTCTATGTAAAAATAATTACCAAATTCCACTTACTTTGGCTGTGAGGACGTGGACAAGGTGCGCTGTGACATCATCAGGGGCTGGTCACCCGTGTGTGAAGCTCCCAGACACGGTCACGCGGGCCATTCAAGCACTGCGTGTTGTCACAAATATATTTTCTATGTATTTCCAATGCAGTTTTATTTGTTTCTTTTATCGTATATGATGCATATTTGTGACCTTTACAATATGTATACAGGTGAATGTTCATAATGTTCCATGGAACTGTGATACATGTGTCAGTAATGTGTCCACAATAAATGTTTATTGTCACAATATTACGTGGTAAAAATTCACTAAAATTACAACTTGTACAGTTTCACACACTATTTACACAGTAACACACTGTATTACACACTCAGTACTTTGGAGGTGCGTAATAATCAACGAAATAGTCCATAGTACACAGCACGACTTTGCTCTCTTTGCACCAGCTACAGATAGATTTTTGCTTCCTGTTTCATTGCTCTGAGAGCTTGCAAATAACGCACTCGCGTGCACCCTTGGCTGTAGTACTTGTAGGTGGTATGTAGCCAAGCTTGTAAAGCATAAGGTAGTATTGAAACGATTATAGGAACAGCTCAAATTGTAAGGTAGTCTTGAAAAGATCGCTTTGTAAGGTCCCACACAGGAAGAGATTCAACTAGCCTCAAAGGGTGTCCGTCAGTCAGGAAGAGATTCAGGTATTCTTGAAAATATCTATGGAAACCACCACCATGGAAGCCGCTAACACTGTTCATCTATGCTACTTGTATCAGATGCATCATCACTGAACACAGAAAACGATTCATCTATGTATCATCTATATAAATTGGAGATGGCAAGGGTGGGGCTCAGAGCTACAACTGGATACGCTCGCTGTATCATCCTTTTAGGTGCTGTATCACTTGCATCCGACTGTTGTGTTAAGTCCTTATTGCGCCTAGCTTCACCAATATCATGACCCTTATGTTCTTCAAACAATAAGGTCTGAATTTCACCGACTGAGCGCAATCTTTCAACACCGTGTGGGACAGGTGTTTGGGAGCCAGAGGTATGTGTGCCACAAATGGTTGCTCACGCAGTACTAACCCAGCCAGCAGCCCTTGTCTTTCATATTTGTTATAGCAAAAGGTTCGTTCAGTGTTTGTCGGGTAGGCTGCTCCATTATGACAATCTTTGTTTCAAATGTGTTCCATTTGTTTTGTATTGTCACTTACGTCTCAATAATGGAGCAGCCTACCCGACAAACATTGAACGAACCTTTATGGCATTTGTCCATTTTTTAAATTGTTTCAAGTAATTTTTTATTTTTTGTTTTTTTTTTATTTAAGAAACATGGGGCAGCCAACCTGCCGACCACCGAACGAACCTTTTGCTATAAGACAAATGAAAAATAAATATTGAACACATTTGAAGAAAGGAAAATGTCATAAAGGTTTGTTCAGTGTATATAAGGTAGGCTGCTCTATTATTGAGGCGTAAATGACAAATACAAAACAAATGGAACACATTTGAAACAAGGAAAGATTGTTATAATGGAGCAGCCTACCTGCCGAACACTGAATGAACCTTTTTGACATTTGTTGTATTTCAGAAATTTCATTTCTTTTTTTTCTACAAAAACGTCAATGCTTTGCAGCATCTTAGCAGTCACCCTTTTATATCTCAGCATCATTAAACAAGAACAGCATAATTCATGTGCATCGTCAGAGGCGTCCGAGAATGTGCAAGAAGCAGCGCGACCCCACTATGTGGTGTTGACGTTACTCAAATGAGCGTTCGCCATATGGAACGATATGACGCCGATTGGGCCGTTCGTTACCCAAAATGTTCGCCTTTTGGGGCGATCGTTATGCGAGGTACCACTGTATTTGCTGATGATTGAGCTATATGTATATACGAACTTTCAGTAAATAACTTTTGTAATTGGAACATTAACATACTGTATTGAGAAGAAATGAAAAGCATGTTTTGCGAGATCTTTGAAGTTCTGATGATAACTGATAAAAGAAATGCAAAACTAACAATATAATTTGATTTGCTGGCGTGAGGAGAGTGCAAGATAAAGTGCAAAAGATGTATCCATGGTTGAGATAAGCACATCAATGCATACGTCTTTGCTTGTATAAATAGTCTACTTATATATTACCTAGTGAACATCCCGAGTGCCTGGGTGACCTGTTTGGTCACCGTTCGGGTTTTGATGTAGTGTATGGATATTACCTCAGAACCCGCTCTCACCTTGTGAGTTTAAGGGTTGTACATCGTTCCTGCCACGAGTCGATGATCATGCTTTTACCTTCCACCATGCTGTCTATTGGGTTGTGATGCCTATGACCCTATATCCTGTGGGGTTTGTTCCTTCCCCTCACAATGTGGTCCTTCTCTCAGACACTCCTAGTGTCTGAGAGAAGGACCTAAGTGCCTAGCCTAGTGTCTAACCTAAGTGTAGTTACAGGATGAGAGCTAGGCTCGTGGTGTCCTGTCTTCCTAGTACTCTTTGTCATATAACTCTTTTAAAACTACAGTACCAATGGCTTTGGCCTCCACCACCTTCTCACTTAGCTTGTTCCAACTGTCTACCACTGCATAGTGAAGTACAAGCTTATCACGCAGCTGTCTCCTTGAAGGTTTGGTTTTCTCGCTTTCAGCATTTGTGGCTATGTGCCCAGTTGGATATCTATGTGTTGGTTTATCTTGTTTTTAGGGACCTAGAATTGGAGGTGTTGGTGAATTCCACCCAGAAATTTACACATCCTCTTCTTTCCTTTTTGGATGTGGTGTGCCCAGCTTACGTTCCTCTCCCTCCTACTTTTGGCTTTGAAACATCTGAGAGTTTTGAAGTTAGGGCAGGGTTTAGAATGGTGGGGGGTGGGGGGCGGGGGGCTCCTTCCATTTTCCTTCCACAAAAAACAAAGAAAAGCACAAATAAATCCAGAGGGATGCTTGTCGTGCACGATACAACAAGACTGGCGTTGGAGGCGTCCGAGAACTTGCGAGAACCCGCGAGACGCTAGGAAGCACCATGTGGTTTTGCTCGTTAATAGAGGTGAAGCTCGTCAATAGACACACATTTGCTGCGAGTGGCTCGCTCATTACTGGAAATGCTCGTAAATAGAGCCACTCGTTACTCGAGGTGCCACTGTACTTATAAGATAATAAGCCACCTCGTTTCATAGTTTGAAGAGCAAGTATGAGAGTTTTAGAATGTTAGGAGATCAAAATGCTCCAGATACAATAGTTGAGTCAATGTCCTAGATCTAGACTTTGCTCCCTGTACACAGGGTAAACACATTCTCTTTCATAGACTCATTCTGATTATTTGTGTTCCCAGAGCTGAGGACATGACTGATGATGTGCAAGGGGAACTAATAGCAAACAGAGGATTTGCCTTCAATGAGAAAAGACAAACTGCTTGTGTATTTAATCGAGCAGCTTTTGAGAACTTCCTCAAGAGACATAACTTTACTCATGTTGTCAGGGCACATGAAGTCAAACAAGCTGGCTTTGAGGTATGTAATTATAATATAACCTACTGTATTCATATTTACTTGTGTAACTCTCACTTATCCGGTAAAAGAGTCAGGTTCGTTCTCGACACACAATCGAGAATTCCGGGTTTGAATCCCGGGCTGTATAGAAATGATTGGGCACATTTTGTTTCAACTAATGACTCTGTTCACCTAGTTGTATTCACCTAATTGTGTTTGCGGGGGTTGAGCTTTGCTCTTTCGGCCCGCCTTTCAACTGTCAATCAACTGTTTACTAACTACTATTTTTTTTCCCCACACCACACACACCCTAGGAAGCAGCCTGTGACAGCTGACTAACTCCCAAGTACCTATTTATTGCTAGGTAGCAGGGGGCATTCAAGGTTGAAAGAAACTTTGCCCCTTTGTTTCTGCCTGGTGCGGGAATCGAACCCGCGCCACAAAATTACGAGTCCTGCGCGCTATCCACCAGGCTACCAGGCCCCCAGTAAGTAGGTACTCATGAGTTAGTCAGCTTGTTGTGGGGTTGCATCCTGGTTGGGTTAGTAATTCAACCTTGGAGAAGGCGGGGGGGGGGGGGGGGGGACATTGATGTGTATGAATACTGATGTGTATGAATACTAATGTGTATGTATACTTTATAATGTGCATGTATATGTAATGTATAATGGGTATGAATACTTTACACTCTGGGTTCCTGTGCCTCATCTCAATAAATTAATTATCAGTATGAGATCTTATATATTCTTAGAATTACTTCTAATGAGTTAATAACTGTACAGTACTCTTCCAAAACACCACTTACTCAACATGTCCAGAGCTCTTACAATATTGTCGAAGAAAAACATTTGGTGAAAAAATGTGTTGCAGAAGGACTGCAATTTTACAATGATGCATTCTTGGAGATACCTGTAGAACTAAACCCTTATATCATGTTATATATTTAGAGAAAAAAAAAGAGGATGCATTTCATTATCAAGTGGAATCTCCCATGACTGGCCCAGTTTGAACTAGATTCTTTCTGTGGGGAGCCTCTACGGCTCCCTGGAGCTTATCAGGCTAATGTATGTTATATTAGACCGTCACGTTAGTTGTGGAGTTCAGACCTACCAGGGACCATGAGCCAGAACCTGGCCCCTTCAGAGAGGTTTCAGGGAGCAATGGCCCTGGAAAACCCCCTTGTGCTTGGGTTTTTTCTTATCTGCCAGCAACTGGGGTTAGGCACCCAGAAAGGTGGGCATAACAAAACAAACCCCACATGGTAAAAAACTAAAACAAAAAAACGAACAGAGAGGTAGAAACTCCCTACAATCCCAAAGAAACAAGCAAACATCACACGCAACAAATGCAAAAGGACAACTACGGCAGGAACAAGCTTCGAGGAAGGGGAGGGACAGGAATCTTGGTTTAGGGATACAATCGAACACATGTGGAGTGAATTCAGGGAAGGACTGAGGGTTATGAAGGAGACAGTATCCAGCCTGTAGGATGAGCTGAAGGCAGCAAAGGATGAAATAAAAAGCCTGAAAAAAAAATCCTACCCAGCAACAGATGCAAACCATCCCGCACGGTGATGGTAATTTTCCTGTTGAGGGGAACCTCACTTGCAGAGTTGCTTAAAATGAACCTTGAAGCTAGGTCTGCAGTAAGGGAAGTTGCCATGGAAGTATGGAAGTGGCTTCTTCTCAGGAAGCAGCTAGATGTACTAGTCAGCTGATAGAGAGAAAGAGAGCAGTAGTAGTAGCAGGCATTAACCCTTAAATGGCGCATGGCTATATACCATTTGACACCCACAGGCGCATAATAGAAAAAAAAAAATTCTTCCTAACCTGTTGTGTTCACTGATCATGGGAAAAATAATAAAAAAATCGTAAGTGGCATATATTGCCCGCTATAGGGCTGGGAAGTCTGGCAAAAAAACAGGCACCGACTCAGCGTGCGTCCCAGGCGGTTTGTTGCTCGCCAGCTGTCAGGCCGGAGTTGCCACAAAGAGATAATTACCTAATTATTTCAGTGTCTAATTGATTTTTCGTAGTTTTTTTGCTGTAATATTATTCAATAGTGTGTAGTGTGATATATTTATATAATAAAATGAGTGAATCATCACTGTACTCAAAAATATGGTGTGCATATTGTTGATTCAATTATGTTCATCAAACAGTGAACAAATACTTTGTCGGCTATTACACTATATACACAGGTTATATATAAGTATCTGCATATTTTGTTCACCATAACGAATCACTAAGTTGCTATTATGAGTCAAAAAGTAATGAGGAGTGACTGCCACACACCAGCCAGCCAGCCACTCCCTCCCTCAATGCCTCACTTGCCCACATTCTCCTCCCACCATACTGTTTTTGCTTTTATTCACTATATACAGACACATATACAAGTATCTACATTCGTGTTCACCATATCGAACCACTAAGTTGGCATGCTGAGTGGCAGCCTGCCACTGGCTGCTACTTCCTCCCTCCCTCAAGTCACCTGACTCACCCACATTCTCCTCTCACAATACTATTTTTGCTTTTATTCACTATATACAGACACATATACAAGTATCTACAATCGTGTTCACCATAATGAACCACTAAGTTGGTATGCCGAGTGGCAGTGGCAGCCTGCCACTGGCTGCCACTCCCTCCCTCCCTCACCTGACTTGCCACCATTCTCCACCCACCATACTGTTTTTGCTTTTATATACAGACGTTATATATAAGTATTTACATGTTTTGTTCACCATAACTGTACATCTAAGCTTGTATGGTGAGTAAAGGCACAAAGACGTAGCTACTCACACAGTCAGCTGGTGGCTGCCGCCCTCAAGGCCAGACGCACTAATATTTCTCCTCCAACAATACTGTTTGTGGTGTTATCATGCTATATACACAGATATATAAATATCTACTGTTTTATTCACCATACTTGTTCAAGTAAACTGGTATGGTGCCCAAAGACCATCGTGGTCACCAGTAAACAACATAAAGCGCAAATAAATCCAGAGGGATGCTTGTCGTGTGCAATACAACAACAACACTGGCGTCGGAGGCGTCCGAGAATTTGCGAGAACCCGCGAGACGCTAGGAAGCACCATGTGGTTTTGCTCATTAATAGAGGTGAAGCTCGTCAATAGAGACAAATTTGCTGCGAGTGGCTCGCTCGTTACTGGAAATGCTCGTTAAGAGCCGCTTGTTAATCGAGGTTCCACTGTACAGAGTTGAGTCAGCATATCAAAGCAACTGGGTGAAGCAGATCACATATTTTGATCCAACAAGACTTTGTCCATTAACCAATTATTTCTGGGATATTTATGGGTTCCAGTCCAAGGCAATCCATTTGAACACGGCTACACAGTACAGTACATTCACATTAGAAAATATTGTGTTAACGCTTATCTGAAGTAATATTTATTATGTGATGTATTATGTTCAACAGATACAACAAGGAGGACGACTTTTGACTGTGTTCTCTTCATCTCATTACTGTGGGGGCAGCAATGAGGCGGCATGCATACTTGTCCACAATTATAGAATTAGAGTCATTAGAATTGATACCTCCTAAAACACAATACTTCACCTTAGATGTAAAGTATAATTCTTTGTAAAGAAGTTCTCATTTAGAATAATTTTCATATACCAATATTCATTTGTTCTTGTATTATTTATTTTTTCATTCATACTATTTGTTAATCAAAAGTTTCCTTAAGAAAAATTATATATGTTTATGTACTCTGCTGTATATATAATGCAAGGGAATCATATACTATGGCTTAAATATCAATTTGATTTGTAAAGACACACAACAGCACCATTAATTTCTGTACTGGTCATGCTGTGATTTTTTCTTTGCATTTATTACCCCAGTAGAATGCAGATTACTTAAGAACAAAACTCAATAACTATGCCAGCACATTGTAGCATTTGTTTCAGGGATCATTAAAAATATTGGTGTTTGTTATTTCATTTACAACACTAGACACTATCTGTTAAATTGAATAGTTTCCATAAATTTTATGATCCACAAAATACTGCATTTAAACTTAAATACATGTACTTCAGTGTTTTGAACAATTAATAAATAAAAATGTATACAATAAATTACAATTACTTTTACAATCCTGAAATTTTGTGCAGTTGAACACTAGAGGCAGCCACGTGCTTTCCAAACCCCTTGGGAAGACAGAACAGGATAACCTGTTGTGTTCAGGTAAGTGGTTCATCATCCTGAAAAGCTATGGGGAAAAAAAATAGATATTTTTGTTACAGAAATTTGACTGTTGTAAGTATACTCACCAATATGAAGTTTTGATCCACTTGTTAACTTTAGTTCGTGGAGCACTGTTATGTAGATAGAAAATGTAGTGAATGATGATAGTGCTAAGTTGACTGAAGTGAAGATTAAAGTAATATGCACTGTTATGTAGATAGAAAATGTAGTGAATGATGATAGTGCTAGGTTGACTGAAGTGAAGATTAAAGTAATATGCACTGTTATGTAGATAGAAAATGTAGTGAATGATGATAGTGCTAGGTTGACTGAAGTGAAGATTAAAGTAATAGGAGGTAACCTCAGCAGACTGTTTTTCACCATGTACTCTAATGTACCTAAATGGCATGGCAGAGTTTAAAGCTTTTGAGCCACTCATTAGTGTATGAACACGGCTCAAGTGGCACTGTATATGGTCACTGGTCAAACTAGTTCCATCTTATTGCACATTTTTATTCAGACTGCCTGTCCCACCAGTTATTTGAACTTTTTTATCCATACAAACCTAAATCAGATAATGGCTATTTTTTGGAAAAAAGGAGTACATAAAGCAAGTGGCTGACTATATTGAAAGCAGCATACCCCCCTTGTTGACCAATTTTCTTTTATCAAGATAGTGACAAAATCTAGCAAAGTTCTGGTGAAACCTTACTTTTATATTAGAGTTTTCCAATATCAAATATATGAAGCCCTTTTGACAAAATGTTCTATAATAAAATCAGTAAGACACATTAAGACCAATTATGAGGGTAGAAATCAGTGGAGGACTGTGGTATAGTAAACAGGATGATGATGAAGTGGCTGATGCTGAGGTAGTAAGGAAGATGCTGCACTTAAATAACGAATTAATTATCACCAAGCCGGTTAAATGAAGAAGCCATCAAGCATTAGCTGCACCACAACCTCAAAACAGCACACATCATGCATGAATATTATGTAGTGTCTATAAATACAGTGGTACCTCGAATAACGAATTTAATCCGTTCCATGTTCGTCATGTGAAACGGACGTCATACAAAACTAATGTCCCCATGTAACCACTGTGATGCACTGTGTTTATTGTGAAATTCCCCCAGTGTGCATGACATCAAATGTTCCCAAAAAATCTTTTTTCTTTGTAAAATGATAAATTACCTTCCATGCACTGTGTTTATTGTGAAATTCCCCCAGTGTGCATGACATCAAATGTTCCCAAAAAATCTTTTTTCTTTGTAAAATGATAAATTACCTTCCCTGAACATGTCTATGTAAAAATAATTACCAAATTCCACTTACTTTGGCTGTGAGGACGTGGACAAGGTGCGCTGTGACGTCATCAGGGGCTGGTCGCCTGTGTGTGGAGCTCCCAGACACGGTCACGCGGGCCATTCAAGCACCGCGTGTTGCCACAAATATATTTTCAAATATTTTTTCTATGTATTTCCAATGCAGTTTTATTTGTTTCTTTTATCGTATATGATGCATATTTGTGACCTTTACAATATGTATACAGTAGAATGTTCATAATGTTCCATGGAACTGTGATACATGTGTCAGTAATGTGTCCACAATAAATGTTTATTGTCACAATATTACGTGGTAAAAATTCACTAAAATTACAACTTGTACAGTTTCACACACTATTTACACAGTAACACACTGTATTACACACTCAGTACTTTGGAGGTGCGTAATAATCAACGAAATAGTCCATAGTACACAGCACGACTTTGCTCTCGTTGCACCAGCTACAGATAGATTTTTGCTTCCTGTTTCATTGCTCTGAGAGCTTGCAAATAACGCACTCGCGTGCACCCTTGGCTGTAGTACTTGTAGGTGGTATGTAGCCAAGCTTGTAAAGCATAAGGTAGTATTCAAACGATTATAGGAAAAGCTCAATTTGTAAGGTAGTCTTGAAAAAATCGCTTTGTAAGGTCCCACACAGGAAAAGATTCAGATAGTCTCAAAGAGTGTCCGTCAGTCAGGAAGAGATTCAGGTATTCTTGAAAATATCTATGGAAAACACCACCATGGAAGCTGCTAACACTGTTCATCTGTGCTACGTGTATCAGATGCATCATCACTGAACACAGAAAACGATTCATCTATGTATCATCTACATAAATTGGAGATGGCAAAGATGGGGCTCAGAGCTACAACTGGATACGCTCGTGTTATAAAATTCGTGGTGCTGCTATGGGGGATCTAATATTAAATGGAAGTAGGGGCAGTAGTTAGCATTAAGGGTTATCAAATATGGGAGATCTCAAAGGCCCAGCCCCCACTATATAGAAATAACCTTGTAGTGACTTATTACAGCAATAGTCAGCCTAGAGGTTGATCATGGATCTCCTACACAGGAAAAATGGATACTCCTTTACTAACTTATTTATTTATTAACCCCTTAACAACCCCCATATACATTCACACCAATAACAATAATAATAATTACTTTACCACACTATCTTACGTTAAAAGCCTTGGTCCACTTAAGCAAGATACAAGGTTTACACTCAGAACAAGCTAGGGTAAAGTACTACTAGTGAAGAGGTAGAAGCTTGAGTCAGCTTAGGGTAGGGAGACCACGTGGTTCCACTGGGACCCCTTTTAGAATAACTAGTAATACAAACACTAGGAACACCTAATTCATACAAAGTATAATACTCTACACATTAGAACATGCCTATGCCAGACAATGAGAACGTTACACAGTATACTTAGCTGGGTATCAGCCCACAGAAATAAAGAAACGAGAGGAGGGAGAGAAGGTTCCTTTCACCACAGCCGCACGGATGGTCCTACAGGCCACTGCACTCGCCTTCCGAAACAAAAGAAAAGACTGCCGGCAACCATCTGCCGGCGGCGATGTCTCTTCCAGGCTGCACACTTACAGGGCACAGCCCGAGCACAGTCCACATTCCACCAGGGAACGCACTTCCGCGTTCCCCCGAGAGGAAGAGCGTGGAATAGAGCAGAGGGCAGCATCAACCACAGTGTCATGAAAAAGAAGGAGGGCACGAGGGAGAGGCAGAACGGAGAGGTTGGAAGTAGCAGCACGGAGAATAAAGAGGCGCCAGTCAGCCAAGGCAAACCGCCACCTAAGGAAGGAGAGAGGAGGGTGAATAGAAAAAAAAGTAAGGAGGATAGGAAAATGGTCACTACCATGGAGGTCATCAAGGACCCACCACCCGAAATCTAAGGAAAGGGATAATGAGCACAGAGAAAGATCGAGACAGGAAAGGGAGCGAGTTCGAGAGTCCAAATGAGTGGGCTCACCAGAATTCAGAAGGGACAGAGAAGAAGAGAGGATGAAAGGTTCAAGGAGGCAACTCCGGGTATTTGTCAGCACATTACCCCAAAGGGCATGACGACAATTGAAATCACCCAGCAAGAGCACAGGCTCCAGCAAGGAGTCTAGGTGGTGTTTAAGATCGGAAAGAGAAAGTGGGACAGTGGGGGGGAGATAAATGGAACAAACCGTATACCATTTACGCACAAAGACACAGGCAGCAGAACAGTGGAGAGGTGAGGAAAAGAGTAAGGGGACAAAGGGAACATCTGAGCAAATCAAGAGAGCAGAAGAGTTATGGGCCCCAGCAACAGCTGGGGGGGGGGGGGGGGTAAGAGAAAAGAATAGCCACGGAAGCGACCAGGACAAGCACCAAGCATCGGGTCCTGGAGACAAACAAAGGGGCGAAAACTGCGAAATTAGAAGTTGGAGGTTAAGGAAATTGGCATAATATCCACGGATGTTCCATTGAAGAATAGTCATCAGCAAAAAAAGAAAGGATAGCAACAGAGAGCAAAGAAAAAACAAAGGTGAAAAAGGAACACAGCACGTTAAAATAAGCACAGGGTCAGGATCGGGGTCAGCGAAGTCAGGGTTAGGAAACTGAGTAAAGGAGGAGGGAAAGATGCGAGAGGACAGATCAGAGGTGGACGAGCAGGGTCTGGAGGAGGAGAAGGAAGAGGAGGGGCAGAAAGAGTGGAGCGCACCTTAGCAAGGGCAGTAACCGAGACAGAACCGGGGGCTAAAGAAACCTCCACAGTAGGAAATAGGGCTCCACCACCGAAGCGGGAGGAACGATATAATCAGAAATAGGGGGCGAAGAAGAAAGCGAAGCCTTCTTACCTACTGGGGAGGAGGAAGGAGAGGAACCAGGCTTCCACTTCTGACTCAAAGAGACAGGTGTCCCAGCAGCAATGTACTGGGCAACAGACTCCAGTGTCTCGATAGGAGAACAGGAGCGAGAGCGAACAATGTGATCACCAGGAGAGCGATGGACATCGGCCTGCACAGTCAGGCGGCGTGGAGAGCCAATAGGAGGAGGAGAATGATGGGAAGGAGGACCAGAGGGGAGAGGAGAAAGAAGACACAGGAGACATGACAGACTGGGTAGAAAGAAGAGGAACCCTAGACAGAGAATAAGGAGGGGGACCCTCAGGGACAGAACGGAGAGAAACAGGGGAGGTGGTGGTGGTGAGCGTGTCCGGGTCTAAGGCTTGGAAACGGTTGTGAGACTGAGGAAGGTGGGAAGGACGAGGAGAGGAAGAGCGCACCACTCGAGCATCGAAGACGCCAGCGAAAGAGGAGAGACGATGAACTTGGCGTCGAGCCTCAGGAAAAGACAAATGGTACCGGTGCTTCAAGTTGAGGACGGCCGCCTCAAGTTTGTAACGTATACACGTGCGGGAGGAGGTAGGGTGGGCCTCACCACAATTGAGGCAGCGGGCCTGGGGAGAAGTGCACTCCAAATTAGAGTGACCCTCACCTCCACACACGGGACAGAGAGACAGAACTAAAGCATTTGAGGGCCACCATGCCCAAACCTCCAGCACTCATTACAGAGCCGAG